CGTTTATGGCCACTGTACCATTTATGGCCATTTCAGAGGAAGTCGTTGCGCATTAAGATCCTAATAGACAGTAGTTGAAAAGTAAGTGCATTAAAGAGCTTTTTCAGACCCTAATTCATCACAGACGGTGTTAGATGACGTTTCCGATATTGAAACAATTTGAAAATGGTTTCCATATTTTAGCTGATGTGATGTACTCGAAAATCTTAGCAAAAACGGTAAGAGCAATGCACTTAATCTTTTATTATCTTTAACGTCGGTTCATATTTAAGCGAACTACGTTTTGTGAACTATATGATCACAAATACGTTAGTTTCAAAGTATTTAATAATATTATAACTATAAATTGAGGTTAAACGTATTTTTGTTAACGTGGCCATAAGTAGAGCGAATTTTGCCAGTTGGCCATACTTGGCCATAAGTGAATTAGCCTAAACCCAGTTATAGCTATTCTGTTAAATTTGATGCTTTTATGGATTTTGAAAACTCCATGTTCCAAAAATAAGCTCACCAAAAAGTATGCTGAATATGTCAACAAGGCAATGGGCACTATTACTGAGGAAAAAATACGGAACTGGTTTAAGGAAGTTGAAATTTTACTCACAGAAGAAGAAATTGTAGCAATAAGGGATTCAGAGCGCGTCTTTAATATGGATGAGACGTGGTTCTGTTTGGCTCCAAAAGGAGAACTCATAGGATTTGTACTTCAACATCAGAGCTGAAAGTGTTGATTCATCAACATCATCAACGTACTTGCCACGCCTAAACGGTCTCTTGCCTCAGTGTTCAATGATGTCATTCCTTGACCACACCATAAACCGACAGTACGAAAAAGGAAAAAAGAATATACTCCAAGCATTGTTACGTCTGACAAATGGGTGGAATATTTTGAACTCAAAGAGAAAGAGAAGAAAATTCAAGAAGAGCTGAAAATGGAGAGAAAAATAAAGTAGAGGAAGCGCAGAAGGCAAAGAAGACGAAGAAGACAAAGGAAAACTGTTGTAGAGGAAGAAGAGTAGAATGAAAGCGGAAGCAGCTTAGATAATATTGATAATATTGAGACAGAAAATCAAGAACAATTGATTATATACATAAATAATCCATACAATATGTATGGAGTTACAGCCCTGCAGGAGTGTTTTGCAAAAATTTTGTGCGTGTTGGATGACAATGAGTTTGAAATACAATGTCTAAAAAGCTTAGATCAGACTAATTGTAAGACACATTTCAAAGTGTTAGACAATGATAAATATGCCATTGAAGAAATCCTTGGAACGCTTCCAGAACCCGAACTGAAAAATGTTGGTCGAAAGATGACGATTGTTTTCCGCAGTGCTTAGAGGTATTCGAAAAACAATAAATGTATTCATCTCCTTAACTTTTATTGTATCTATAAAATCTAAAAATTGTACTATATTGCGGTTGATTTCTACGCAAACAAATTATGGTGGCCATAACTGGAAACTTTTATGGCCATAACAGCGGTTTTGGTGGCCATAAATGGGGAAATTGCTTTACATTTGAACATTATTTTTTGTGTTTTAAAATACTTGATACACCAATAAAATGCCTCTATGCAACAAGAGCTAAGAAACACTATTTTGATTTTTTTCTCGCATGTATTCCAATTTTGAAATAAGGTACCGAATTTTAAAAGTGGAAGAGTACTAAATGTGGCCATAACTGGTTTCTCTACCCTACCTAAACCATTTATGATTTCAGCACCCTCACATCAATAGTTCTTTTTGCATCAGCTGCAGGCCATGACAGGAGATTATGATTTATTCCAAATTCTGAAATGACTAACTTGTGTACTTGAGTAAGTTTAAGTTCATTTAGGAACTCAAGTTTATGACTGAGTGTTTCCAAATGTCGTTCCTACCCATAACATACTAGAAGAGATGTATTAGATCGATATTCTGGAATTTGGAATCATTTGTTGATGCAATTTCTAGATTGAAAATGGAATTTGTAGTAATTATAAAATATCGATTTACATTTTGGATAATGAGAAACCAATTCAGCAGAACATTAGAATCTAAAAATCCTAAAGATAATTTAAAAGAACTAAAACCAGTTAAGGTTGGAGAGAAATAGTACTTTAAAAAAAGAAAAATGTTGGAATAATCTATAAAATTGAAAATGATTGCAGAAAAGAAGAAAGAAGAGCTATGACTTTCGAATCATAGAATGTTCTCAAAGAATCTCCTGAGAAGGAAAAATTGGTTATGTCAAAATGGAATAAAAAAAGAAGAAACACAATTTGATGAAAAGTCGCTGCAGAAAACAACTAATAAATCTAATCGAGAACTAAAAAAACATTACTTTTTTATGAAGCACCTCCAAAACCTAAAGAGAAAGAGTGAGAGGAGTTTATAGGACGTTTTCCTGTTGAAGATCTATCTTTATTATCAGCAAATTTTTAAATTAGTTCATGTTATCCTTAATATACAGGAATTGGAGGAGACACTTCATCTTTGTGAGATCCGCTTCTTCTGTTTGTCGTTCTACGTATTTGTTTCTTACAATTAATATGGAAAAGTTCTGTATCTATGTAAAAATCTTAGTTGGGCTTTTGCATCCATCAGAATTCCTCATCCGACGTCTTCTTTATTATGTAGATTAATGGAGGAGCTGCATCAACATCACTTTTCTTTTGGACTAGAATCGTTATCACGATTTAAAACAAACCTCATTGGCATGCTGTTTACCACCCTAATATTCTAAAAATACTTGCAGAAGTATCCGTGTTCCGTTAGAATTTGAAGGTGATAGTAGTTTATTTCACTCTGCTCATATCAGCTTTTTCACCAACTCCAGCTATCTTATTATATCTTGCCATATCTGCCATAAGTACGCCTTCTGGCTATGAGCACTTTGTGTGCTTCTACTAGACAAATCATATCTTTCGTCGATACCTATGGATACTGTAGGTTTGAACACCGTTTTATATACTTTATGACTACGTTTAAAACTGTCGTAAGTTTGTTTACTGTTCCAAACCTCACATCCATATATACAATCAGAATTGTTCTAAAAACTTATAAACCAGTCCTATGCGCGGATTTTCTTCATTTTTCTTTCCTCATTTCCATTTAGTATTTCTTGGTAACACCACGGTCGCCAATACTATGGCGATCGTAGTATTGAGACGAAGCTTGCAACATTAGTACCAAAAACACTTCTTGGAGTTTAAAATGATATTCTTTGTATTATTATAGCTGATTTATATTTACCTTAACAAAAAATATAATGACACCATTTACTACAAACTACAGGATGGGATCAAAAGAACGAATTTCAAATTACAGGTTGAGCAAAGCAAAGAAAGTTGTAAAAAACGTATTTGGCATAATTTCCAAATTTCAAAAATGCATACTTATTTAATAAAAGACAAGACTTCAAAGCAAATATACAGTCAAATATATAAATGGAAGGGCGTTGAGTAGAAGGATTTTCGAGATATTCAGAAACCAGTGACAAGCATGGAAATCATCGAAATATTCCAAAGAAATCAACATTCGCAGCAAATGATATAATATAGTAGAAAAGTGAAAAGCTTGTTTATTTATAGTCTTTCTTTTTTGAACTTAAGGCATTTCTGGGCTTATGTATTAAACAGAAATAAAAGCTAGGTAAAGCAAACCAATTCCTTGCTAAGTACCAACCTTTTTTGTTTAAGACAGTGGAAACGATGCTTTGGGTTCCAAAACACTTTCCTTTTACCATATTCTTTTATTAAAAGTAAAAATATTTGCTCTAACGAAATCCATTACATTAGCTTCATTTAAATAAACGAAAAAATGTTGAAATTCTTCTGCGTGTTCTTGATTCTGAAATAATGGCTTACTGCTTCTACGTAGGAATGTTGCAAGTAATTTTTCATCTACCACACACGAAAGTAAAAATTACTTTGCTTGGGACAGACGTTATAATTGTTTGGAAGAACTTGCGGGCCTGTAGCAACGAGTTATTTAAGACCTTTCCCATGGTTGCAATCAGGGCAAGGGGTTTATTTAGAAAGTTAATAATTTTTGTTCAGGTCAGTGTAGGAACAAGGAGTTAACGATTAATATCTGGTCGAGCTTTTTTATAATCAGCTTGTATGTTAAGTTTCATCATTTATTTGATGATTGAGGTTGCTTATAAATATAAAGAAATTTGTCTTTACGTTGAATAACGAAAAAGTTTTTGTGTTTTTATTGTGGGAGATACAACTAAATTGAAATAATAAATAAAATAATTAAAGTAATGGATTTTATCCCCAATACTATAATTGAATCAAATTAACTTAATTCATTCATATCCTGTGTCCTCAACAGCATTCGCATTAATAAATCGTACCTTCTCCGACATTCTCTCTACTTACATAGTTCTTATTTCAAAAACTCCATTGTTTTGTTCTTTGGTTTCATATTACATTTTTAAATATAACTTTCAAAGAATAAAAATAAGTGTATAATAAAGTTATGAAATATATTTATTGTAAAAACTATAATAAATCTCTTTACAATAGAAGACACCCAAGGATTTTTCTCAAGACGAAACCAACTTAAAAAAAACACACGATATACATTTTATGCGATCCATAAACGACCATACAATTAAACGAGTTTACAATCGGTTCAAATGAAGCAATAAATCCCATCAATAGATTTTCTACTAAAATCGATTAACCGTGCTATGTTTTTGGATTGCGTTAACCCTAACACCATCGAGGCTCTTCTACCTACTCGAATAAAAAAATTTACATGGATTTTAATTGCACCCAAGTATGTTTATGGTCAAGTTGTAAATCAACGGATTGTTAGATCAGGTCTTGCGTACGATAATGTACCAAGGAAGAGTATATGTCCCCTCTCATTGCGTCGTATGAACCATTGTAATGGGGGAAAGGGGGGTTGGAAGCGAAAACTTTTAGAGGAGCATCATCTGGAAGTGATGGTATGGTGGCAAGGTTTCGAAAGTAATAGAATTTGTTGTAGAGTAATACACCCACTATTGCTTCCAATGTGGGGTATATAAGCATCCTGCCACCATAGATCCAGGTAGATCATCCTCACGCATCACACAGAAAGCGTGGTTCATCTGAAGAAGAAGCATTTTACCTAGTTGTTTCTCCTATCCATTTCGTAAATATATATTTATATTATAATGAAGGTAGGATTTCATAAACTTAACTTTTTTATCACAAAATAAATTTTAATGGAAGGATTACTCTCACTCCGTTTGTGAAATGTCTTAAAAAATATTGCGGTGAAAGTAGTTAAACAATTGTTGAAGATTCACGAATTATCTAACACAATGAATTAATTTTATTTCTTTTTTATAGGCCTTTCTTTGCGTGTTAGCGACTGTATCTCTGGTGTTGGCGGAACCTCCGGTACCAAGCAGTCAATATCTTCCGGGAAATCAAGGACCTTCAAATCAATATGGAGCACCTCCATCTAGCTCGTATGGTGCACCAGCTAGTGGATTTGGTGGAGGAATTGGGGGTGGTTTAGGTGGTGGAGTTGGAGGAACTAAACCTGGTATTCAATACGGAGCACCTAAACCACAATATGGAGCACCAAGTGGAGGAGCTGGTGGATATTCCGGTGGCGGAGGATACGATGATCAATCTGTAAGTCATTTCATTAAATGTTATTTCACTCCTTTTATACATTTTCAAAATAACTTTAGATTGAATAATCAAGTGAGATTAAGTACATAGTTATGTGAGAACCGATGAAGCTTTCAGTATACTCGTTGAATTTATCGATAATTTAACTGCAAATATATGCAGCTAAAGTTGCGCATTAAATAAATCTCTGCTACGATTCGATAATGTTTAGAGGAAAACCATATCTTATTCAGGATATATCCCCACATTCGATTACGCAATGTGAGGATTCAAAATATTCAATTACCGTGACATCCCGTCGATGAAAGTGAATGCATCACTTTTATCGACGTACTTTGTCAGATCGGAAAGTTGCCAACTTTGTGGTTCTTTCAAATCGGGTATTACGGTCGAGCAAACGGTCTCGTTTTCCTTTCGAGCATTCTCGGACCTCTATTTACGGCGAAATGGTGTATCAGTATTGAGAGGCGATGCCTCGTTATGCAATATTCGTCGAGAAAATCCCGCCGCGCTAAATACTTTAAACATCAAAGATTTATTACTTCAAGATACTTCGTTATTAATTAACGGTCTTAGTAGTTATAAAAAACAACTTATTTCAAAAGAGATCGGTTTACTTTAGAAATCATTTAAATTAAAAACTTAGATGATCTTCTAATAGCACTATTTTAAATACAATAAGTATTACTACATCGTTTTGAGATCAAAGTTAATCAAGGTTAAATAATAATATATCATTATATATTACAATAAGGAGTATTTCGTGATCAACCGCAAAAATCACTCCAAAATAGCTAAAATTGTTTCAAGCAATGAAAAAATAATAACGTTATATAATATAAATGTAATTTTCTTTGTGATGGTAAAAATAGGAATTTAATTACAACCTAGTTTCATTACAATAAAAGAAGTATTAATTTAGGCCAATACAATTATCATTCTTTGTAATACTTGTTTTTAATCCTTGTTTGGCAGTGAAATAAATTCGACCTTTAAATCATCTATTTTGCAAATACACAAAGAAGCAATCATTAATTCTATTTTTATTTCAAAAATCTTTTAGGAACCAGCAAACTACCATTTCAAATACGATGTTCAAGATGCCGAATCAGGAAATGATTTCGGACACGAAGAAGAACGTCAAGGAGATGACGCCAAAGGAAAATACTACGTTCTTTTGCCAGATGGCAGACGTCAAGTTGTTGAATACACCGCCGATTTGAGTGGGTATCATCCTAAAGTATCCTACGAACAAGTTGGAGGTGGATATCCTGGTGGAGGATCCGGTGGATACCCATCTGGACGTGGTGGTGGTAACGGCGGTTACCAATATTAGATACTTAGAATATTTTTAGGAATTAATTCGTCCGATCTCTTGCACTCGCGTTCCGATCATTAAATCCCGTCTCACTTGCCCTATATATTGATTTAATTCCGGAGGTCGGAATATTTTCAGCTCACGTTGTTAAGAGGGCAACACGTACATAGCTTTATTTAGTTTATAAGCGATGATCTTTATTTTCCTTTTTAAACCTTCTTTATGTTTTTTTTCCTTTTCCTTTATACCGATTTGGACACGACTTTGGATTGCGATTAATATACTCGAAATCAATTAAGATATTTAACCGATAAGAAATAACATTGAAGAAAGACAAGAAGTAGTTGATTTCGTGTATTGAATTATTTATTTTTGCCATATTTATGCGAAAGTAGCGCTTAAGAGAGATAAATATTTTTTTGAGAAATACATCTGTACCTCTACATGTATATTTTTATAAATAAATGATGCATTTGAAAGAAAAATTATCTTTTTTTTTAGTTTAAAAACAATAATTTTTATAACCCTTTGAATTATCTCTTTACATTTAAGGAATTATCTCGTATTACATAAGGATTATGAAGAACTGTCTTGTCAATTATGAATGAGTCATTAAACATGATTGGTTTCGTTTAAGCCGCTTTCACGAAGTGGTAATAAATATTGTTATGCGTCACGCAAAATTCTTTAAGATCGTTAGCAATTGTCAAATGATTTAGAGGGATTTAAACGTGACTTTAAAGAGACAAATAATTTGATATATTTGATGCATATATCCAAAAAATTTTATACAACAAAGAAGATTTGGTTCATTAAGTGTACCTCTGACTACTCTCAATCTGCTTGGATTTAAAAATCAGATATAAATTGGGACTTTTATAAGTTTGTTACAAATTGTTATTTGTATTCAAATAATAAATCTATTCTTGGGAGGATAACTTCTAGGTAAGATGAAGATGGTATTATTAATCATTAGAGAATGACCATTTTATCCAAATATGCTGTGTCATCCCATACAAAACGTTTTAAATTGAGTAGATTAACTTTGTCGACTTTTTTATATTAACTTTGTAACTTGATTTTTCAAAAACTAATCTAAATATCAAAAAACTGTTTAGATTCCGAGAATCGTTAAAAAATGTTGATTAAGTGATCCAAATTTGGCTTCTTTAATTTTATAAACAATTAAAAAATAAGATTTAAATCTCAACGGAAAAAATGTGTCAATTCAAAATATCAATTTTTTTAGGTTATCTTTGGAACACGATTTCTTAAAAAGTAATTGAAATATCAACAAACGGGTTTGTTTTTTGGATTATTTAAACAATTTTGATTATGTATACCAAATTTGGTGTCTTAATTTTTACAAATGACTTTAAGAGAAATTTTTAAAATTTACTGGAAAAATCTGTCAATTCAACAGTGGATTTTTTTTAGTTTAAAGTTTGTAACCTGATTTCTCAAAAACCAACCTAAATATCAAAAAATTGTTTGGTTCTCGAGAATCGTTAAAGAATGTGGATTAAGTGATCCAAATTTGGTTTCTTTAATTTTATAAACAATTAAAAAATATGATTTTAAATCTCACTGGAAAAAATGTGTCAATTCAAAACACCAATTTTTTTAGGTTAACTTTGAAATACGATTTCTTTAAAAGTAATTGATGTATCAACAAACGGATTTTTTTTTGTAATAACTAAACAATTTTGAATATGTATACCAAATTTCGTATCTTAATTTTCAAAAATAACATTAATACAGACTTTTTAAAATTTTCTAGAAAACAATGTGTCTATTCTAAATAGGAACGTTTTAGGTTATCTTTGGAACACGATTTCTTAAAAACTAATTGAAATATCTCCAAACGGATTTGTTTTTTGGAATACCTAAACAATTTTGATTATGTATGCCAAATTTGATATCTTCATTTTTACAAATAGCTTGAATAGAGGTTTTTAAAGTTTGCTAGAAAAATCTGTCAATTCAAATAGTCGATTTTTTAAAATTTAACTTTGTAACCTCATTTCTCAAAAACCAACCTAAATATCAAAAAATTGTTTAGTTCTCGAGAATCGTTAAAGAATGTTGATTAAGTGATCCAAATTTGGTTTCTTTAATTTTATAAACAATTAAAAAATATGATTTTAAATCTCACTGGAAAAAATATGTCAAATCAAAACACCAATTTTTTAGGTTAACTTTGAAACACGATTTCTTAAAAAGTAATTGATGTATCAACAAACGGATTTGTTTTTTGGAATAACTAAACAATTTTGAATATGTATGAAAAATTTCATATCTTAATTTTCAAAAATAACATTAATACAGACTTTTTTAAATTTACTAGAAAACAATGTGTCTATTCTAAATAGGAACTTTTTAGATTATCTTTGGAACACGATTTCTTAAAAAGTAATTGAAATATCAACAAAAGGATTTGTTTTTTGGAATACCTAAACAATTTTGATTATGTATACCAAATTTGATATCTTCATTTTTACAAATAACTTGAATAGAGATTTTTAAGGTTTGCTAGAAAAATCTGTCAATTCAAATAATCGATTTTTTTAAATTTAACTTTCTAACCTGATTTCTCAAAAACCAAACTAAATATCAAAAAATTGTTTAGTTCTCGAGAATCGTTAAAGAATACTGATTGAGTGATGCAAATTTGGTTTCTTTAATTTTATAATGAATTAAAAAATATGATTTTAAATCTCGCTGGAAAAAATGTGTCAATTAAAAACACCAATTCTTTTAGGTTAACTTTGGAACACGATTTCTTAAAAAGTAATTGATATATCAACGAGCGGAGTTATTTTTTGGAAAACCTAAACAATTCTGATTATATATACCAAATTTGGTACCTTAATTGTTACAAATAAGTTTAAGAGAGATTTTTAAAGTTTGCTAGAAAAATCTATCAATTCAAACAGTTTTTTTTATAGTTTAACTTTGTAACCTGGGTTCTCAAAAACCAACCCAAATATCAAAAAATTGTTTAGTTCTCGAGAATCGGTAAAGAATGTTGATCAAGTGTTCCAAATTTGGCTTCTTTAATTTTATAAACAATTAAAATATAAGATTTAAATCTCAACGGAAAAAATGTGTCAATTCAAAATATCAATACTTTTAGGTTATTTTTGGAACACGATTTGTTAAAAAGTAGTAGAAATATCAAAAAACTGTTTCGATTCCGAGAATCGTTAAAGAATGTTGATTAAGTGATCCAAATTTGGTGTCTTTAATTTTATAAACAAATAAAAAATAAGATTTTAAGTCTTACTGGAAAAAATGTGTATTCAAAAAATCAATCTTTTTAGGTTAACTTTATAACACAATTTCTTAAAAAGTAACTAAAATATCAATAAATGGATTTGTGTATTGGAAAACCTAAACAATTTTGATTATGTATACCAAATTTGGTATCTTAATTTTCAAAAATAACATTAATACAGACTTTTTTAAATTTACTACAAAACAGTATGTCTGTTCTAAATAGGAACGTTTTAGGTTATCTTTGGAACTTGATTTCTTAAAAAGTAATTAAAATATCAACAAACCGTTTCGCTTCTTAAAAACATTAAACAATTTTGATGAAGTATGCCAAATTTGGTTTCTTATTTTCCGAAAGTAACTCTAATATATATTTTTAAAATTTACTAGACAAATCTTTCCATTCATAGAGTCGATTTATTAGGTTAACTTTATAATATGATATCTCAGAAACCAACCTAAATACCAAAAAACTTTTCAGTTTTCGAGAACCGTTAAGGAATGTTGATTAAGTGATCCAAATTTAATTGAAAATTAACAATTCCAAAAATTGTCCTTTGAGATACAGGCAATGGGAAGAAATGAAAAATCTTTATGGCAAAAACGATTTATTCCTCTATCATGTAAACGCACGACGAAGACACTGACAAATAATCGATCCCCTCATCCATATCCAGGTAAAGAAGGACGAATCTTTTACTTCCGGGTGTCCTATACGCTTTTACAAGCATGTATAACATGTCAGCTATGTATGCCTTTTGCAATGGTATATTCGGCCAGTTATACGGCTTGTTGATGTCAACTGGGCATTGTAACTACAAGAAAGATCGAGGCCCAACAACGAAAACCTACTGACTTGATGTAATGAAGCAATTCCCAGAACTTACAAAAACCAGCAACCCCAAAAATTTAATGATGAAAATATTGATGAACGATTGTTCGAAAATGTCTTTATATCTTTATTGCTTTGTACCTTTATTATTCTTTGTTGAATCACAAAATTATGTAAAAAAATAAAAAAAATTGCGAATCTAATCACATAAGGAATTATCATACCATTATAAATTATAATAGTTGGGAGAGGTACTCAAGTAATCTTTAAAAGACAATACGATGGTTTAAAGATTACGAAAATGATCCCGAAGATAAAATTCCTAACAAAGGGAAAGTACTGTAGTTGACATACTAAAATAAACGATCCACGTACACACACGCAGAATTATACGCTAATTCCTTTCTAATAAACGTATTTTAATAATTATCCTTAATATCTTCATTTTCCCTTATTCAATCATATTGAGACATTAATGGCAATTTTGTTAATAAACTTACCTTAAATGGTACGTAATTCCGCTATAAATCAATGACACAATTAATATTAATGATGATATGCGAAGAGCAAATTTTGAAAGTGTTGTGTAATTGTATCAAGGCCGCGCCGAAAGCTGCCGTAAGTACCCACACCGCGAATTTTTCGGCAGGTATAAATACTTCTAAAAGAGTTATGGAAGATCAGATCAATTAGTACATCCAAAATCTAAAGATCCAGCAATCTACCGCTAAATATCATCAACATGAAGGTATGAAAAAATTATTTCTTCTTTTAGCACTAAATCAATAATTGAAATCAATAATTTATAGGTTTTCGTTTGTGCTTTGGTATGCTTGGCCGTGGTTGTTGCTGAACCACCAGTACCAAGTAACCGTTATCTCCCAGGAGCAACCTTCAACAGTGCTGTAACTAAATACGAAGGCAATTTCCCATCTGCAACTTATGGAACACCCACTCAATACAGCATTCCTTCTCAACATTATCTTCCTTCTCAATACAACGCTCCTTCTCACCAAACTTACAACACCCCTTCCACTCAATATGGTGCACCAACGCAATATAATCAACATGAAGAATCTCAACCAATTATTTCATCATCCCAATACGTTGCACCATCGACTCAGTATGGAGTTCCATCTCAATATAACGCCCCATCTTCCCAATACGGAGTTCCAGCTGTAAGATCTAACACCCCATCGACAACCTATGGCGTTCCCTCTGCTAAATATGGAGTACCATCAGCTAGATACGGAACTCCAAGTTATGCTAGATCAAACTATGAAGAACACTCCGTACGAAAAATTAATTTCAATAAAATTGATTTCTTTATATAATTATCCTTATTTTAGGAACCAGCTAACTACAACTTCCAATACGATGTTCAAGAACAACACGAAGGTACCGATTTCGGACACGCTGAAACTCGCCAAGGTGAACACGCTCAAGGTAGATATTACGTTACTCTTCCTGATGGTAGGAAACAAACCGTTGATTACACCGCCGATGAACAAGGATTCAAACCACAAATTTCCTATGAAAAAACCAACAACTACGCTTCCAGATCTGGAAACTACAACAATCAAGGTTACGTAAATGGGGGATATTCTCAAAATGGATATTAATTTTTAAATTAAAACGAAAATTCAATTACTTTATTGACGATCAACTTTGTACCTGTGAAATGATTCCCTAATAAAAATTTTATTTGTATTTCTTGTTACATTTATTGTACTCATAACATAACACTAGTGTTATCCTTTGAGTCATAATATGGTTAAGTAAAATAATTCCCATGGAGAAAGGATTATAGATATAAAGTGAAATCGTTATTTGATTTATAAATTATGAATTTCCTTAAAGATAATACTCGTTAAAAAAATTGTGAAGATAAAATCGTTTAGTGGTTTATTAAAATGTTAATTAACGTTCTACTTACTTTTTTAAATTTAACTATGGCATTTTGTTAATGACGTTTATTGTTGTGTGGGCGAAAGTGAATTCATGATGGAAGAACACATATTAGAAATTTTATGGATTTAAACCAAAATTAATTTACTAAAAACAAAATAAAAATTCTTGTACTTAATTGAATTTAGATTTTTGATGAAATTATTATTTATTTAAACACAAAAATCACATAATTCAAGGAACTTTACTTAAAAATATATCATAAAATAAAATGTTAATCATCATAATATCTTCTTATTAAAAGATCCCCGTTTTTTAAAAATTTATCATCGTTCATTCTTCTATTCCATCTCATTGAGTTTTGATTCGTCCTTATATTGGGATACAATCTCCATTTGTAATCAGGTATTAGATTCATCTGAAATTGTACATATTTAATATTCTCTTATACTATTTATTGATTAAAACAACGTTTCCCGGTTATCAAAATAAGCAGAAAAAACGTTCTACCACACTCAAAAGGTCAATAAGCAAACATCAAATGGATCGTGAATGTGATTGTGTTATGTCAGGTTCCAGTGAAAATGTGTCATTCCCCCAAAGATTCTGGAATCTAGGAGTGAAGAAAAATACATACTAGAAGAACACTAGAATCTAGGGTTATCGATCTAAGACCTAAATCTATAACACTCTCGATTTTGAAGGTTCCTTTTTGGCTTAATTTTATCTTCATCCGACAAACGATGGAGATTGTTTACCAAAATATAACGCACAAGAGCATATCAAAAGTATATGTATGTCAAAAAAATTTATCTCAAAAACTGAAAGTTATTTTCTAATATTAATTATAATTTTTTGTATAATTGCTGAATATTATGGAATGATATCTGAATAAATCGGTTTATAACGATTTTTTTAAAAAATTATTCAAAATCAAGCTTGAACTAAAAGGTGGAACAATTTGAATGAGATTTTAAATTAATATCTCAATAACTAAAGGATATTTTTAAAAACGGTCTTTTTCATTCGAAAGCTCTTGATTTTGTTTATAAATGGCGATAATTTTATAACGATTTACTAAAACATCTGTTTATGACGATTTTTTGAAAACAACTCAAGGAATCTGTTTGCTTTCAAAAGTGAGAAGTAACAATACTGCGTTTAAATTCTTTTATCTCAACAACTGAAAAATATTTTCAAATACAGATATTTACATTAAAAAGATGACATTTTTTTGTATAACTCCTCAATGTTGTAAAATAATATCTTAATAAATCGATTTATTACGATTTTTTAAAAAATGATCGAAAATCAAGCATAAACTAAAAGGTGGAACAAATTGATTGAGATTTTAAATTTATATCTCAATAAATAAAGAATATTTTGAAAAACGGTCTTTTTAATTTGAAAGCTTATGATATTCTTTATAAATGGTGATAATGTTATCATGATTTATGAAAACATCTGTTGAAGACGATTTTTTGATAACAATTCAAAAAAACTTCACTGTGTGTAATTAAAAATCTTTATCTCAAAAACTAAAAGTTGTTTTCAAATGCGGTTGCTTTTATTAAAAACCTAATACTTTTTTGTACAATTCATCAATCAATTCATACGCTTAAATAACGTTACTCCAACTCGTATCAATAGATCATAAGAAATATGTGTCGGATATAGAACTTCATCATCTATTTACCGGTCTTTTTTCTCCCTAAGCTAGACTCTGGTGGAAGCTTTACGGTGTATTTCGGTCTATCAAGACCAAAGCGTGCTCCTTTTTAAGACATTGTTGCTTGAATTGTCAACTAACAGATAGCAATTGTGGATAATATGGCGGATAATGCTGTTCGAAGTGGGGATGAGTGTGTGAGGAAGTTAACAATGCGGACGGGCAAATGTTGCCTCATTGCAGGAGATATGAGTTAATGCTGAAATAGAACGACCATTGAAAAGATGTATCGATTTGAACGTTGAATGTGTCAATTTAGAATTAATACATGATTAATATACCAATAGAGATGTGATGAAATTTCTTGATAAAAAATTTACAAATACAAATATAGCTATGATACTCCAATAATTGGGGTGGCAACATTTGCCAATTAATTATATAAAAAAATATGTTCAGTGCGCCAACCTATTAAAGCAACAAACGAAGAAGTTGATGGTATCAAAAGCGCAAGAGAAAAAACTTATCAAGTTGCATCCAAAGAATTTACTCATTTCAGCTTTATCAAAACGGAGTTAGTTTGAGCCCACCACAATAACAACTCAACCCAATCCAATCTCAAGCATCTTATGTTGACTCATATTATATGGGTCAGCAAAAAATGATTTAATGATTTTGTGAAAGTGATGAGTGGTATTTTTCGCTTTATTATAAAACAATGTTATTGATTCAGAAAAGATAATGATCTTTCATTGACAATGTTTGAAAAATCTACGACCATCTTCTTCAAGGGCTCTTTACAGCAATTCAATAAACTTACAATTTAATGAGGTCACGATTTTAAAATACTTATTATTTTTGAAATACGGACATCATGGACATGATTATGGCTAGCAATGAGACTAATTGACAAGAAGTTCAATGTCTACTGGAGAAGCACCGCATGAATTACCGAAATAACAACGCATGATTGAGCATGGTGATTGCCCTAGTTACACACAACAAAATAAGTTTAAATACAAGTTCACCATCAAAAGTTTGTTAGACATAGTTCTTAGAAGAAGAAAATGACGATATTATTTGGAGGGGAAGAGCTAAATTAAAATAAAGATTGGCGGAAAATACAGCTATACTCGCAAATTTTGGAATATCTATGTCAATAATAGAACATTCGTTTTGTGAATATCACTTTTATATACTTACATAATATGGTTGTTTCTTAACTAATTTCTCACCAGAAAAAGGTGGTAATAAATATAAAGATGGAGTTTTAAATTGTTTAGAAAATATTTGCAGCTCTTCATTAGATTTATATTCAGGTTGATAATTTTGAAGATAATTTAAATACGTAGATGATTGCAGATAATTCGGAAAATGTTGACTACATTGATTAAAAAAATCTTCATTATTAACTAATATTGATTCATCACTTAGTCCTTCATTATAATTTATAAATTCATGTTGTTTTAATTTCAAAAAATCACTCTTAGTATCTTCATCCAAATTTAATTCATTTTCACTCAAATTATTTTCATAACGATTCTTTTCAATATTTTTATAATAAGCATCTCGATTATTATTTTTTATTTTATTACCATACACAGAATTAGACAAAACATCATTCTTAATCGTTGCATCAGGACTATCAAACGGTATCCAAGAATCAATTTGTAACTCTTTATGTCGCCCCCATAAAATATCATCACCATCGGCTTCTTGATTTTGTTTCAATTGGTTCGGTGGATTACCTTCACCATTACTTGGATTTACCAAATTGTTTCTAACCACATATGATTCAACAATAACACGTTTACTGAGAAATAGAAAATAAACAAGAAAGTTAAACCACATGTATACCATATTATTAATTTCACAACTCAACATCAACTGGATAACTGGGAGTATTCTTTTTATTTTGAGATTTGCGGGTCTTAAATACATAAAAAGATCTTGTGGAGGTGGGTGGGTTATAAATTTTAATGTAACTACTGACCCTATTACCAGAAATGTAAGTGGAATAATTGAAATCGTAATAACTAGACCCCGAAATCTTAGAGGTGTAATTACTAAGTAATAAAATAAATAGACCGTATAGATGTATTTTTGATACAATTACAAATATTATATATTATAAAATAATCTACACTTTAAATAAGAATAAATTTTCTAATATTTTGATTCCCAATTTTGTATCCTCCAAAAGGTTTTTTATTTACTTCACCACGATTTTGTTCATTTCGCCCTTCATTTTTAACATTCGTTTTGGAATGTGGTATAATCTCATTTCCTAAATAATGCTCATTAGATTTACTATTTCCTGGCTTAAGAATTTGTTTATCAAGATTTTCCTGACTTTCACCATTATCGTGATGAATCTTTTGGAGGGATTTCTAAAAAAAAATTATTTTTATTTTTATTTTAATCAATTTTCAAAACAATTCTAACTAGACGATATTTTGGTTTCAACCAATAAGATCTTACTACTTCATTAAAAGCCTTCGCTGCATCTTCATAAGATTTAATGGGTTCACCAGCTTTCAATTGTGTTTCTTCACGAGGAATTTCCTTGATGAATAGTGGGGGCTCCATAAAATCGAGATTATTCATCTTTTTAAAAGATGTAGGTTCATCAAATGTCTCAACATTTTTTCTTGAGCTAAACGGATTTATGGGATTGTATTGTGACATTGATTGCACATCATGAATCTTGTTTAAAATACGTGGATATCCATCAAAATAAAAGAATTCACGTAAATCTGGTTGTTGATGAAGCAAATCAAATTTATCAATGTATCCTAAATGATTTGGGGGTTGTGTTGTATCTTGTTCAAAATTGTTATTTAGAAAATCGTTAAAACTAGGAAATAGAGATTCTATTTTTGGCTTGGATTTTGAATGGGTTGATGTAGATGAAGCATAAAAAAATGCCATTAAAATTACCAGTAACTGTAAAATAAAAAGGAAATCTTAATTAAAAATTTCACTAATCTTAATTTATCGCCTTTTTTGCGAGTGTTCTTAAGCATATCGATAATTGAGTTATAGAGCTACTTTTGCAATTACATCATCATCGTCTCAAACGGTGTAAGTATACCTAAAGGCGAATGTTTTAACATCCTATTACATAAACACACAAAATGAGATCAATCGTCCGTCGCTTAATTGTGAATGTACTGCTAATGATGGCCGCGAAGTGATGGTATTTGAAAAATTGGGAACAAGAAATCTTCTTTATGTATAGCAAGGTCGTTACGAAAGCTTCCACGCCTACAATTTCGTCTTGGTATATATACAACATAAAATTTTGGCAACAGCATAACGATTCAGTTCATCCAATAATCAACAAGCATCAATATGAAGGTAAATTGAAACGTACTATTCAATAAGAATGTGTTCTGTAAAAACATTTTCTTTTGTAGATCATCATAGTTTTAGCCAGTCTTGTCGCTGCTGTTTTCGCCGAACCCCCAGTTCCAAGCAGCAGATATTTGCCAAGCACCAGATATTTACCGAGCGTTCAAACTAACTCGTTTACTTCCCCAAGTACTCAATATGGAGTTCCTAGTTCAGTATTTTCTGGACGTACTTCTGGATATGCGAAGCAAATGAACTACAACTCCATAAGCAATGCTTATTTACCAGCGTCATATTCTAGATCTGGAAATTCTTATGAAGATGACCATTCTGTAAGATTTTTAATTATTATCTTTATTTGTAAAAAAAATAATTTATTCCTTAAGGAACCAGCTAACTACAACTTCCAATATGACGTCCAAGATAACCAACATGGTAATGATTACGGCCATGAAGAAACCAGACACGAAGATAACGCCCAAGGAAAATATTCCGTTGTGCTTCCCGATGGAAGAAAACAAACTGTAGAATACACCGCTGATTCCGATGGATTTAAACCAAAAATTTCTTACGAACAAGTTTCTAATGGTTACAATCGTAACTTTAATGGGTATAGCAACGGTGGTTACAGCAATGGTAATGCTTACAATAACAATAATGGAAATAGCTACAACAGTAATCAACACAATGCTCAAGTATACAACCATCAAGAATCTTACACCAATGAAGAGGGAGGTTATAGATACTAAATAATCATTGCTAATTAAGGCCAGTACTTCATCACATAGGACTAAGATTTTGAGAGCTTAATTTTGTAAGCATTGTATTTATTGTAATAATAAATAAAGTGCATGTAAAATAATTTATAACTATTTTGGTTACTAAAGTATGATTACCTGAAACATTAATATTAATGTAGTCCTGATTTATAACGATTGCAATTTAACATTCAGTGAAGCAATTAATAGTCTTCTTCTAACTTATTATTTGGTCTTAAAGGTGTCCAAATTTAAATTCATTAATTTTTTAAGAACCTTCATTTAAACATTTCTGTCAAGAACATCAGTGTCAATGTCTAAAACGCACATTTTTCGTAACTACTCAAGGAATATGATATTGATATTAAAAATTATAGGTAAGGAACTAAATTTTCCCAATTTATTCAGAAAATATACACATTATCAGCTTCAAACCACAGGTGGAGTACAATGAAAGAATTTTTAGAGCTAGATAAACTGGTTGTTAAATATCTTGCAGAGATTAGATGAGGAATCCATCTAATCTCATGTGTACTAAATTAATTACAGATAAGGTGGAAAATATTGAGATAATAGAACTTATGAAGTATCTGATATTCCCTTGGGTAATCCCTTGCTGCTGAAAAATGTACTCAATGACAGGCTCTTATGAGTTTATCCATTTTGAGAAAATATTAAATAACGCACTTCCGCAGGGATCTATCACAATCAATTTCTTAAAGTGGCACGCAGAATCTCTTCAATTCAAACCACTAGGAAGTTCCTTGATCAGTGGATACCGTCATGCATGCCATGATTCTGCAATGTAAAGGTCCGGGAGAATATTTTGAGCACTAGATTTGCCCTTACACTTCCTTGAATTTAGTCAGCGAATTGCAGTAGCTCGTCCAAACAATTCCCACAACTTCATTCTGAAAATGGCATAACTGCTATTCGCTTATTAGCACAAAATAACGAACTTTAACTGCAATTAGTTTCCCAATTGTATTCGTTTAGAACACAACAAAAAATGGATGATGTTTGTAGTAGATTTCACATTAGAAATCGATTTCATTTGCAGGTTCTTGCAGAGCGAAACAAATTATCGTAATCGATTTGTAAGATTGTTACATTTTTGTTGTGGGTTATGCGTATAATTCCTCAGTTAGGTTGGGTTGGGTTGGGATGACACGAAGGACTGGCCTTTGATGACGACTTGGCAGATACGGGAGAACTGAACGGCAGGAGAGGGGTGTTTCTTATGCCCTCCTCCAGTCAAGTAGGCGATTGTAATGATGCCTGGAAAAGTTAAAAGATGTCACTGTTTTGTTTTTTCGTGCCTTGGATGATGCGAGACGAGGGCTGGAGATAGCAGACCAACGAGGAGAGGACAAAGGAAAACAGAAAGCAAAAAGGAAGCAAAGGTCGGGCCTAGACGAATTATTATAATTATTATTGTTATTAATTGATAGAGAAGTGACAACAGAGATGGAAGCTCCGAAGAAAGCCCGGAAGGGTGTTTCCGGAGATGGAAAAGAGGGTGNAAAAGATGTATCAAAGTGGGTTAAAAAAGGCCCATCAACAGACTACTACATAACCCAAGCAATGACAGGACATGGAAGTTTCGGAAAGTATCTAAACGACATTAAAAAACAACAATCACAACAGTGTTGGTATGGATGTGGAGTGCCAGATACACCAGAGCACACGCTATTTGAATGCGCAAGATTCCAGGGCGAGAGATTAAGGGCAGAGATAGTTTTGGAGAAGTCCATGAATAGGAACAATATGGCGGACGTACTGGTGGATGAGGGGGAGAAGGCAAAAACATTGACAAAATTCATGAGGGATGTTATGAGGACAAAAGCCCGCGAAGAACCACAACCAGGGTGAAGGAAAGAAATAGAGCCCAGGGAGGTGGATGAGGAGGTGGGAATTTGGCGGACAGAGAGAAAGAAGAAAGAAGTATCGATCTAAATGGACCCTGGGAAGAATTAAGAAGAAGAAGGAGGTGGGTATACCCCACCTCCTACCGGGTACGAGGTAAGACAATGTGCATGACAAAAATTTAACTGGAATGTATTAATGTTTCATACGGAAAAACCATGGACCACCAAGGAGATGAGGTGGACAGAGAGAAGGAAAAAAGAGAGGAATGATGTTCTAAATGGACCATGAGAAGAATAAAGAAGAAGGAGGTGGGTATACCCCACCTGCCGCCAGGTGCGAGGTAAGAAATTATGCATGACAAAAATTTAACTGGAATGTATTAATGTTTCATACGGAAAAAACAATGGACCACCAAGGAGATGAGGTGGACAGAGAGAAGGAAGAAAGAGAAGAATGACGTTCTGAATGGACCATGAAAGGAACTAAGAAGAAGAAGGTGGGTATACCCCACCTCCTACCAGGCGCGAGTGGCAAAGAAGTATGGCAAAAGAGGTGAAGAAAGATGGGCACAAGAGAAGGTGTGCTGATCCAAAAGAAACCAGAGATGACAGACTCCGAAGAAATGCCTCTACGGCGGTTCCGGAGAAGACGAGGAAAGGGGATTTTTAGTGGGTCGGGATTGCAAGTCCCAACCCCACACTATCTGGCCGTCCAACATCACAGGCCAGATGTCTGTTTAGCAGATTTTTCCCCGTCCTCGAAAAAAAAAAAAAAAAAAAAAAAAAAGGTTGGGTTGGGCATTGTACTCTGGCGTTATCCTCTTCCTCCAGCCTTAATTCCATTTGAAAATCTATCTGGTAATTCCGAAGTTATCCCTCAAACGTGGCACAGAAGGGGGTTTTTAGTGAGTGCTAGCCACACAAGGCAATACACGGTGCATCCTTAGGTTGAAAAGCTTATTCCCTCTATAAAAAAACCGTTGAGTTGAGTTGGGTTGGAATTCATTTGTAGGTTCTTGCAGAAGAACATAAATTATCGTAATCATTTTGTAAGATTGTTACATTTTTGTTGAGGGTTGAAGTTTGTTGAGGGTTGCGCGTATAATTCTTTAGTTTGGTTGGGTTGGGTTGAGCATTGTACCCCATCGTTATCCTCTTCCTCCAGCCTTAATCCCATTTCGGTTTCTAATCTGCCTATCTACAGCTGATCTTTTAACAGTTTCTTTGTCCACGCAGTAAATAAAATTTATTTCAAAAGTGGAAGCAGTCTATGTTGTGTTCTATGCATACGGNCCAGTCAGGTAAGCGATTGTAATGATGCCTGGAAAAGTTAAGAGATAGCAGACCAACGAGGAGAGGACAAAGGAAAACAGAAAGAAAAAAGGAAGCAAAGGTCGGGCCTAGACGAATTGATAAAGAAGTGACAACAGAGATGGAAGCTCCGAAGAAAGCCCGGAAGGGTGTTTCCGGAGATGGAAAAGAGGGTGAGCTTTTAGTGGGTAGTCTTGGGGCTAGAGATAGTCCCACGGTCCCAGCCGAAGAACACAAGTTTCTCATGAAGACCATGAGGCGCCAACAGTAGGCCGGGGTACGCAACACACTTTCCCCTCCTCTGCGCAAGAAAAAAGGGTTGGGTTGAGATGGATTAGGTTGGGTTGGGTTGGGCATTGTACTCTCTCGTTATCCTCTTCCTCCAGCCTTAATCCCATTTGAAAATCTGGTAATTCCGAAGTTATTCCTCAAACGTGGCACAGAAGGAGGTTTTTAGTGGGTGCTAGCACCACACACAAGGAAATACACGGTGCATCCTTAGGTTGAAAAGCTTTTCTCCTCTATAAAAAAGTGTTGGGTTGAGTTGGGTTGGATTTCATTTGTAGGTTCTTGCAGAAGAACATAAATTATCGTAATCAATTTGTAAGATTGTTACATTTTTGTTGTGGGTTGAAGTTTGTTGAGGGTTACGCGTATAATTCTTTAGTTAGGTTGGGTTGGGTTGAGCATTGTACCCCATCGTTATCCTCTTCCTCCAGCCTTAATCTCATTTCGGTTTCTATTCTGCCTATCTACAGCTGATCTTTTAACAGTTTCTTTGTCCACGCAGTAAATAAAATTTATTTCAAAAGTAGAAGCAGTCTATGTTGTGTTCTATGCATACAGAGGACATCTCAGGGAGAAGGAGGAAGAAAATGGAAAGTTCTTACCTCAGTGCCGAGAAAATAAGCATCTGTAACGCCGTAGCTTCGATAAAAATGTATCAGGTAATTCCGAAGTTATCACTCAAACGTGGCAAAGAAGGGGGTTTTTAGTGGGTGCTAGCCCCACACACAAGGAAATGCACGGTGCATCCTTAGGTTGAAAAGCTTTTCCCCTCTATAAAAAAGTGTTTAGTTGCGGTGAAATACCTTTTTAGAATTGTTTAGTGCTCTACGAAGATAATGGTGGTGGAATCTTTGCTTGGCTCAGATTTCTTAAATGGTGATTCAATCGTTGATATTTAGGGACGAGGATTTACATTCTATCGTGAGTACTACAATTGTTGATAGAAATTATTTAACGTTCATGAAGTCACCGAAGTAAAGTAGTTAACTACTTGAAAAGTTGTTTTTTGACAGTTACAAAATGTGGTACTTTGCTTAGTTATTCCTCCGAAGTGATTCGATACACCTTGTTTGGTTCTAGTACCTCCACGTCTTCGAAATTCAAACTGTATGAGTCACATTTTTCTCTTAAGGTATAAAATATTTTCGAGATGTTTTATCACTATGTTCTTTATATGATTTCTTAGCCGACGATCAATAAATAAAAATAAAAATTGGTACAGATACTCCTAAGATATTTCCATAAAACCTCATTAACTATATAGGTCTGTTTTATCATATTCAGTGTTGCGTTCAATGAAGAATATACTTCATAACTCATCGAAAAGTGGTTTACCTTAATTTATAATTTCTGCATAAATTAAGTATGTTAGTTCTATTCATCTCACATTATTGTTCGCTCCTTTTCTTTTTACTTGTTCTTTTAACCCAAGATTTCGATTTATAATTTACATTTTAGGTTTCTAAGAAAACCAATGAAACCCTTTCAATTAACAATTTTATTATTAACAATTTAAAAACGTTAATAATTTTCTAAAATTTCATACAACAATAAAACTTGACCATGACATTTTAACTTATGACCACGCGAAACCTCATAGTATTCCCGATCTAATAAAGTTCCAAGAATTTCCGACGTTCTAATAAACAAACTGAACTATTAACGTGAGATTAATTGAGATTTAAGCGAGATTTTCTTTCCCACAGTTTTCAAACGCACAAATTTACATATCCATTTGTTTTCAGAGAGGAACTATAAAGTCGCTAATAGATGTAATCGCCCATTTTACCAACTGGTGGTCGGTTTTTCAGCCTTGGGACACTATGTAGGTATGATCTGATTGTCTTCATATTACGTTTTTAATTTAGACAGACCTTGAGGAGTAAACTTTTAATTATCGTTATATCATTTGTTATTATTTTAAAGAATTTATATAAACTTTGTATTACTTATTATGTATTCATTACAATTCTTGTCTAACTATAACTAATTAATTCAAGTGCAATTTACCATGCATCCTGTCATTAAGTTCTGGAGTGAATACAACAGCCATAACTAATGCGGATTTTATAATTAATTTTCAAAGATATAAACTTAGTACTTGTACGGAAAGTTTATTTAAGTATAAGTACAAAATGTCGTTAAACAATTGTGTTTACTCATTGTAAATTCGAAACGATCGTGTGAATTACAGGATAAAATTTTTAGTTACGTTATACAATTTTATTGGATTAGCATTTTTTCAACTATTTATAATTAAAGTAATTATTGTTTTGTTGTTTTATTGTGTGTTATTGAATATTGATGGTACAAAATATACTTTTGTAACTTATTGCTCGTAAATAAAGAAGGTTCGTGACGGAATTCACAGTAAATATCTTATATGTTGTGGGAGATTGTCACAACCCTTACCATATTTGACTGAAAACACTTTTGTAGTCAATTAACGTTCACTTAATGAGTCTCTACGTGTAATGATAAAGTAATAATTCTTGTGGGTGCAGCGTCAACCTACGATCTATAAATCATTTTGGTTTGTGTTGACGGAGTATTACAAAATTGTTTCATAAGATCACTTCTTTCCAGATATACTTTGTAAGAAGTAATAAGTTTAGTTTTGTAATAAAACAACAATTTCCTTTTTTAATAGTTTCAATACAAAAGCTTTTCTATGACTTATCCTATTGTGAAGTGTAGAGAGTGGATAAACGATGTTGTTTGTTGTGGTAAAGAGTAAAGTATTCGGTTATAAGTCATTGGATTCGTTTGTGGGTGGCTCCAAAGTGGAAGGTTCTCGGGTAGGGGAAGTTACAAAATTACGATTTTCAACAAACCAACAATCTGGCTTGCAATTAAAACAAGGCCTTTCGGTGCGCCGCTAATTTGTAATAATTGACACCCACCTCTAAGGCTTTAAAAGAAACTATATATACTCGCCCATGGTCGGAAAAACTCAATAGACCGTGCGTTTCTGTGATACCTGTGCGAAAGAAACGTGTTCTCTTTATATGTTGGATAACATGAAGGTAACAAATTTGTTTATTTTTACTAAAAAGATTTGATTATAACCATTAAATGTTAAATCGTAAAAGGAAATTGGAAGCTACTGAAATATTAAAACAACAAATTAGATAATTACTAACTATTAAAGTTTTCAAGACTTGAAAGTTTTTAATCAGTTTTTTGACTTTAATTAAAGAAATTTTTATCGAAGAAATATGTTTAAGTGTAATTTTAAAGGTGAAAATTAATCGTTTTAGTTTCAAAATCGAGTAAATTCTGTTTACACACGATCGGACTATACTCCATACAATCACCTCTCTTAATGAACGCGCCAAGATCATGCAACTGAAATGTTAATTGACATCCTAGAAACGCTTTTCCCGTTGAGTAACCCTGACTTCCGTCGTAATCCGGCGGAAAACATAAATATAGATTGCATACGAGTATGAACAGCGACACTTTGTCTCAAAATTCTCACGTAAATCGGTAAAATTGTTTTCTGTCTCAAACACTTTGTATTCTCTTTGAAAGCGAAATTGTTTTCTATTTTCCAAGACTACTCAACTAAGAGAGTGTTATGAGTGCTTTGAGGTCCAATATTGTTTTAAACAGAGTATGTATTGTATATTTTTATTATTTTTTTTTTTCATTACAAAATCGTGACATGAAAGAAATCTTTGAATTAGTTAAATTTAAGAAAATACATTTTTATTTATAATTGGTTTATTAACTTAAGTACAATATTAACAATTATCACTTTAATTTCTTTAATTGTTTGTTTGACAACGTTATGAAGACAACTTGCAATTAAATGCACAAACAATTTTTGAAATTACAAAACATAACTGTTAATAATGTTTTATATGTAAAAGTTGACAAAATGTGTGGATACAATCATTATTTGCAAGGAAAATTGTTATAAGGAAGCAAAGAAGGATTCTGTAAATTGAATAATTGCTAAAACTAAAGTCATCACCAATAAATATAAAGATACTTTCGCTAAATTTAATCAAAATGTAAATTTCAATACCTATCAATTTTTTCATTCATAACTTTATTCTCTCATAAAATTATATAAAGACTTCTTTATTAGACCCATACCCGCCGAATTTGATTAGCCCACTTCCAAAATTACCGGCTTTATTTTTAAACAAATAGATTACAAACCATGCCATACCATAAAAGGTCTTGCATATGACATTTAGATTAATAATAATACTATTTATATATTAATAATATTATATAATTATTTAATATTAATAATAATTAATGATTATGCCCATCTCTCCCTGTCAAGACTTCTCACATACATGCGCCACATTAAATGATTTCAACCTCTATACAAAAATTTATAAAAATTGTTCAACCTAAAAACTTAAAACTTTGTATAACGCTCTTCTGCGTTGTATACTTCCTTGCCTTCTGTTCTGTCGCTAGTTATTTCTATTCCCAAAAATGTATACTTCCTATTTTATGCACTTAGCATTATTTAGGTCAAGGCCCTGCTGCTGTCCTTCCACATACATATACACCATTTTATGTATATTAAGTTCCATGCCTTATTCGCTGTATTCCTCTATGAGTTTCCTGATAACATATTCCATATCTTGCTGGTTCTGTGCGATAAGTATTTGATCGTCGACGAAACATAGGGTCTAGATGATGTCATTTAACGAAATATCCATGCTTTCACATTTTTATTTTCCACTATTTTAGTGCTTCCTCTAGATATATTTTGAACAATGTCGTGGATAAGCAACACACCTGCTTTAATGATGTGGAAACCATTCTATGTTGTTTTCATGAGTATCAAAATTATTTTAATGAAAAATGAATGATTTAGTATAACTAGGTAGCCGAGGTCGCTTGCGGCTGAGGCGCAACTAAGTTGAGGTTGCTTGTGCCTTATGAGCTATAATGGTACAATATATAAAAACACAATACCACAATACTTTGACCAGCCAGGATAATTTTATCATAAACCAGTAAGTACGCAAAGAAGTTTATGCATCCATTCCCATAGTTTTCGTAATATCCCCATTCTGTACTTGGTTCTCCTGTTATACTCAATCCTCCATAAGACTCTTAAAACTATCAAGATGGGTACACATTTCCTCGCCTCAATTCCAACGTAATGGATAAGCCGAAATCATTTGCCACACATACGTTTCTGCAACACAGCGTCCTTTACCATCAAAGCAAAGGCGTTATGTGTTAGTTCTAACCCAATTTGTCAAATCATCCTTTATTAAAACAGGTGTATAGTTACAAAGTGAGGTTGATTTGAGTAATATGAGAGACTATGTAGACAATACTGTAGGCTAGAGTAAATTTATCTGCCCTTTCTTAAACCTTTCACCGAAGAGACACACACAAGTCCAAGTTTCCTCCGTCGTCACGGTCCACAGAATACCTAAGCGTAATTACAAGCTCATCGAGTGAAAGTAACCCAACCTCTTCGTGTATGAACTTGCAACGATTTGCTACATGAACCCTAGATAGCAACCATATCCAAAGATGTTTTTGCAACATATCGGAAGGGATACGTCTCCCACTATGTATATTTGCGAAGTTTTTTCATGTTCGCCGATGTGACACAGTATATCATTTCATCATGATCCAGTTCTGATCAGAACATTGTAGTTTATCTGCTCATGAGCTTTTAAATACAATTGATGGAGGTCTCTAGATTGGTTAAGATAGACCTCATTTATGACCTACTCGATTACCAGATTTAAATGTAATAGATTTTTTTCAAAAGGGTTATTTGAAGACAGAAATTTTTAGATTTTAAAAATATGAGACTTGATAGGTGTGATGCAATTAGACACATATCTGGTGTTTTATAACGAGTTCGGTAGTCAATGAGGAGCATAGTATAATGAGAAGTAGTTGTTTAATTCTTCACTTCCCACTAATTTATAGAAATGAAGAAAAAATGATCTGATTAAATGTCGCAGTGGAAAAGCACATCGCAATAAAGGAGCAAAAAAAAAAGAAAAAAAATGCAACCTAAGAGCACAGTGGTCACAAGAGAAGGAGAAAGTGGTGTCTGAGGACTCTTGAAGAAAAACGCAAAAAAAAATTATGTATTTTGGCAACCAAGCGGCTGAGAACGCTTATATCATGCACTGGTTTGCTTTGACGTTAAGTTAAATTGGTTTAGAGTCAAGAGAACATTGTAATGGGTTAAGTTAGCACGTTGGGTAACTTTAACTAAATTTTAATTTTCATTACTTTAATATTAGCTTGGGATGTATTCAGTAAACTTTGGAATTGGATTACTTCGTGATAATGGTCACTTCTTGTTGGAGATTGCTTGGAATGTTGGATTAACTTGAAATTTAAAATTTTGATTACATTGGAAATATGTCTCGTTGATTTTGAGTTGTATTGCTTTGTGACAAAGCTGTTTGAAGGTTGGATTCAGTCACTTTGGGGTTGGGTGGCATACTTTAAGTTTTGGAGTTAAATTTGCTTACTTACCCAACTCAACCTAACTTAACCACTAGTAAATTTTGAATCACAATTAGTTGAATTGGGTTGCTTTATTGATTGGCATGTTTCGACGTTGACATACTTTGGAGTTGGATTGGCTTCCTTCTCAGTTAAATTATATTATGGTTAAGATACTTTAGGACGTGGGGCTTTAACTCTGTTGTTTTGCATTTGGATTAGGTTGGTTTGAAAAGGTACAAGCAATCTTCCATTGAACAAATAATGTAAGAATTTCAGGTTATCAAACAACCCATAATCGCTGAGGGCGATTCTTCTGTTATAAAAGAAAAAGTAACGAAGAATAAAGAGAGCTACGACAACAATAAATACTTCCATATAAATCGGAAATAGAAATTCTTCCAGAAAGCTAAAAGTTAAAAGTATTTTAAGTATGAAATTTCTATTTTCTAACTCTACGAAATTCAAGAGATTTATGACTACGTTCAAGTCCAATAACTTTTTAAACAGAAATACTTCGTATTATATTTGTTTTTTATTTTTCTTTTTGATGGTTACAAGGTCATAACAATGAAAGAGAAACACATCGGTTACGCTTAATTGTAAATCGTTTTTTGTTTTCGCTCTATGAATAATGTAGTGTAGTACACTTGTAAACTCGTTCGTGGCCGTAGTAATTAAATATAATTATGACTCAAGTTTAACTATAGGGAATTAATGCGGGTAATTTACATTTTCAGGTCACTCTACTTTTGTCGGTGATTTCTTTGGTGTCACTTGCGTCTGCCAAGCGATTTACCAGAAGTGGTTTCTATTCCACTCCGAACACCCAATACATTCAACCGCTTAATAATGGATATTATTCTTCGCAACCTGGTTACGAATTTGTGGGGAGCACACCATCACCTCCGATAAAACCAATTTATGAACCACACGTTCCAATCACTCCGGTTTATCATCAATCAACGATTAGCACAACTCCACTGCCAATTTTATCGACGCCTTCGACACCTTATAACGAGGATTACGATAATTATATTTCAATTACCGAATCGACACGTCCAAAATATTTTGGAACTAATCAATTTACTAATCAAGCTTCTTACGTAAATCCGGTTGTAGATCCCGTTGTTGTGAATCCACATATTAATTCACAAATTGCCAGTTTTTCATCTCCAGGTCATTCTGGATTTGGTTCAAATTCATATCCAGGTTATAATCTAAATAGATACGTTCCTCATTACGCCGGTAATGCTGCAGCTTATAATGGAATTTACAATTATGTAAGAATCAAATTAATTTTTTAAATAATTTGTACTTTTTTAACTTATTTTTAGGCGCCAGCTTTTTATAAATATCAATACGCAGTGAAAGCACCTGAATACGGTGTAGATTTTGGTCATCATGAAGCAAGACAAGGTGATGTGACTCAAGGAAGTTATCATGTTCTCTTACCTGATGGTCGTTTGCAAATTGTCGAATACACGGCTGACTCAACGGGATATCATCCGAGAATAAGATACGTACATGTGGGCGCGGCCGGACTAAATGGATATTATTAATGGATTATTATTATGCAATTAGTTCCATACGCTTACATGCATGACGAATTATGATAAACGATGTGCATTTACGAAAGAAATTTTTTTAAAAAATACTTACAAAGATACTTTTTATACGAAAAATGTTACAGTGTATTTATATTACATTATGTAAGTTAATAGAAAAGTAATTATATGTTAAAACAAATTTAATGTAAATATTGCTATAAATAAATATCAAGATAGTTTTTATTACGATGGTCTTTGTAAACAATAAAAGTTGTTTTATTATGATAATTTTCTCCTACTATGTCTCTTAAGGGGGGAAATATATTTAGAACCTTAAAAAAACTTTGCAAAAAGCTAAGGCAACTCGATCGGATCATTTTATTGAAGCATATAATACAAAAACATAAATATAATAATAATAACTTATTGTTTCCCAGAAGATTACAATTTATATTAAGTACAATACTTACAACTTATAATTCTATAATGCTTATCATTAACCAGCCTCTCCCTGTTACCCTACGTCTCCTCGCTGCCACCACCTCCTCTATCCATCTCATTCCCTTCGCCCTCTCCCCTAGCACCTGCCCCCAATCCATCTACGCTTCCCTCAACTAAACTCCACCAGCAGATAAAGACTCCAAGCATTCCCCATATAGTCTGCACCCCCTCTCCTCATCCTCCATCCAATATATATTGGCCCTTTCTTCATTGCCACACAGTGTTGTTAAATACCTGGGTATTTATTTTCAAAGGTAAATTTCCTGGATATATACCCGGGGGTATTTACCCAAGATGTGTACTTAGAGGTATTTATAAAATTTAATTTAAATTGAGTTGATGGCAGTTTTGCAAGCACTTCAAGAATGCAGAGTCGATTATCGATATACCAAACTTATTTATAGCATCTACAAGAATGCTACAATGACGGAAAAATTGCATGAAAGTACTGAAGAGAGTAGAAGTAGTAAAGTACTGATTGTGAGTAAAACAAGGCGATACAATGTTGAACCCAAATTGCTCCTCACAGTCCTCAGAGTGCATTTAAACAACTGGATTAGACCCAAAAAGGCATAAACATTAATTGCAAATGCTTACATAATTTTCCCTACGCGGCCGGTATAGTTCTTATATCGTATAACCTTGGAGAGATTAAACTATTGCTGAACGACTTAAAGGAGATGTGTGCAAGAGTCGGGCTAAATATCAACGAGGAGACATCAAAATTTATGATCAATCTTGTTCCCAGCTCTAACATCAACATTGTGAATAATGAGATTGAGAGGGTTGACAGTTATGTATATCTTGGATATGAGGTTCGTGTATCGAGAGATAATCAAACAAGCGAACTAAACAGAAGGATCACACTCGTATGGGAAACTTAGAGACATCTTCAAGAGAAAAGGTTAACATTAACGATAGTCACTGCCAAGAGGGTCCAAGTAACGCAAAGATAGATGGAGAGGTCGATCCTGGGTCTAACTCTGAGGGACTACATTCGAAATGAAGACCTATGAAGAAAAACCGGCGTAAATGATGTGGTCAACATTGTGGCAAAGCTTAAGTGGATCTGGGCTGGTTATGTCGCGCGAATGAAGAATGAGCCGTGGACAAAACGGTTCGTTGAGCGAACAAACGAAGTAGACGTCAAAAGAATGACCAACAATTGGATTCAGACGGCATAGAATAGAATCGAATGGAACAGAATAGGGGAGGTCTATGTCCAACAATGGACGCAGAGGGCTGCTTGATGGTAATAATCATAATAACTTGATCTAATCTAAATTACGACAGATTCGTCTAATGATAATACGTCTTGGATTGTTGACAATTCCTCGTCTTCAACGTTCTTATCATCTTCCTCTTCATTTTTTTTGGAATCTGATACATTTTTACTCGTATCACTTTTATACCCACTGTTTGGGTATTTACCCTGGGCCGGGGTAACTACCCGGATAAATATCCATTTTAGAAATACCTACCCGTCGAGTATTTACTCAGCGCCCATCACTGTTGCCACATCTAAACCTGGCTACCAACCTTCTCCCCTCCTCATCCCCCTCCATCATCAGGTACTTTGGTAGCCCATCCGCTATAATTTCGGCATATTTTGGGTACAAAAACATATACTGGCAATTTATAAAGATCTACCACAAGATAATTGGCTAGTTAGATGTTTGGGAAATCACACTCAGAATGCTAATGAAAGCTTCAACTCGACGATTTGGTGATTGACCCCAAAGTACCTACACTCAGACTTGAAAATAGTCGAAATNAAAACATATACTGGCAATTTATAAAGATCTACCACAAGATAATTGGCTAGTTAGATGTTTGGGAAATCACACTCAGAATGCTAATGAAAGCTTCAACTCGACGATTTGGTGATTGACCCCAAAGTACCTACACTCAGACTTGAAAATAGTCGACATTTCTGTTTTTATTGCGGCTAGCCTGTTTAAGGAACGACACTTAAAAAATAATGAATTTATTGAATACTGTCATTGGCAAGCAAGCCAAAATATACGCCGATAAAATGAATGAACACCGATGTAACGAATCGCTGTTCATAAAAGCTCGGAAAGCATAGAAAGAACAGTGAGCGAAGGAAAGTTTATTTTATGAAAAAACAGAAGGTGGATTGTATGGTCCTCCAATTGTTTAGTTTACAGCTAAGGAGTGCTAGGAAAGGTAAGTTTTGTTTACAAATGTCAATTAACGCAAGAAAGAATGTTGGGTAAGGTTAGTTTTCTTTTAAACTGTCAATAATCCCGAAAAAGAATGATGAGTAAGATTAGTTTTCTTCTGTTTTCACACCCATTTGAACTTTAATGCTGCTACGAGCAAGTCCTAAAATATTACCGGGTTTGACAATGGCGATGTTAATAAACAACTTAGCGTAGGCGAAGTCTCTCTTCAGGTCACAGTCCAATCCTATGTTTGGCCATCGCAAATGATATACCAACTGCTGGCTCTGGCCCCACAAACGCTTTAACGCTGCCCTCTTGTGCTAGCTTATCTGCCGTTTGATTGCCACCAATCCCAGAGTAACCCCAAATCAGAGAAACTCTGTTATCACAACTCAGTAAAGTTGATTGTCTCATTCCAGTAGAACTGGTCCACAGTAGGCGAAGTCTCTCTTCAGGTCATAGTCCAATCCTATGTTTGGCCATCGCAAATGATATACCAACTGCTGGCTCTGGCCCCACAAACGCTTTAACGCTGCCCTCTCGTGTTAGCTTATCTGCCGCTTTATTGCCAGCAACCCCAGAGTGACCCCAGATCAGAGAAACTCTGTTATCACAACTCAGTAAAGTTGATTGACCCCAGAGTGACCCCATGTCAATTATACCGTGAAGGAAGATTGGGTAAGGTTAGTTTTCGTTTGTGATATCAATTATACCGTGAAGGAAGATTGGGTAAGGCTAGTTTTCTTTTGTAATGTCAATTATACCATCAAGCAATGTTGAGTATGGTCAGTTTTCTTATTTTTGGNAGGAAGGTTGAGTAAGGTTAGTTTTCGTTTGTGATATCAATTATAATATGAAAGAAGATTGGGTAAGGCTAGTTTTCTTTTGTAATGTCAATTATACCATCAAGCAATGTTGAGTATGGTCAGTTTTCTTATTTTTGGACTGTCATCCCATAAAAAGAGTTGGATGCAGTTTGTATGATGCATAACTCTGTGTTTAATGGTTTCAGTTCATCAAGATGTTGCGAATATTGCGAGATTATTAAGGTTTTCAGAAATTACATGCAATATGAATGGGATTTTTAACATTTATTTGTGAAACCTAGATTACTTAACTATCACCCTGTTTCCAAGAATTTTTTAAAAGTTTCGTAACTTCTCCTGACGATGCTTAACAGCTTCTACAGGTTTTTGAAAAAATTTTGCATTTATCCTACTTAGGTGAATGTGGATATTAAAAATTTTCCAAAATTCTCCAATACTTTATAATTTCTACTAAATTTCCACACTCCAGCAGATTTCTTAGATCTAATTACATGTATGACAACTTGCAGAATATTTCCAACAATTTTAAAAGATCTCCAACAGGTTTAAAAACACATTTAAAAAATCATATATGATTTCAAAAGTTTTCTGAGTACACCAAGATGTTATAGAATATTTTGGAGCATTTTTTCGGTGCACTTCTACTATAATAGCATGTTCTCAAGGAGTAACTGCAGATTTCTGGGAATTATTGAAGATGGGTCTAGGTTTACAAGGATTTTTGCTGATGCTTTTTGATAGATTTACACCAAATTTCACGAGTTTTTTAAAATCACCAGTAGATTTTGATGATTTTCAAATATTATTACTTTAAAACTCCAAGAGTTTTAGGCATTTATTTGGATGCACCTTAATCATCAAATATTTTTAATCGATTTCCAAGAATTTCTGGAAAATATGTCTCAGCATATTTTGAAGGATTTGGAGAATTGACAAGTATTTGAGAGGATTCTGAAGACTGCAGGGCTAAACACGAATGTTTCCAGTTCTAGGTGTAGTGTTAATCCTAGTTTTACTTCAATAAAAATATACAAAAACATAGTGCTGAATAACGACATAACCTATATCTAACAATAGCACTAGAACTAATACTAGATCTAGAACTAGAAACATTCGAGTTTAACTGTAATTCTCTTAAGGCAGCTAAACCCGAATGTTTCTAGTTCTAAGTCAAATGTTAGTTCAATAAAAATATACAACAACCTACCGCTGAATAACAATTAAAACTACAACTAACACAAAACCTAGAACTAGAAATATATAAATTATCATAAAAAGACTTTACACTAAGTGATATATTCTTTATTCGTTTCCTTAATCGATTTCGATTTTAAAAATCATCTTCAGAAGGAGGCAAGTCAATTTATCGAAAATGAAACATTAATGAACAATTATTATTAACATTATTAAAACTAAACTAGAAATTACCCACGTTACAAACTTATTACTTTGTAGTGAGTTTTACTCCCTGAAGAAGATTCAATACAGGATCGAAATATTGGAATGATTAATTGATTGTCAATATTTAATCCATTATCCTATCCTGAAATAACTTTTTACACGTTACTAACGGGACAAACAAATATCTCCTGCTATACTTATTTTTTAGATAATCATATTTTATTTAATTTAATTTGAATTTGTACGTTTTAAACAGCGCCATCTATGAGTGACATATCGGAACCTAATATTATTTATGTTGTTTACTAGATGGAGTTAGTACTTTAGTTGCATCGTTTGACAGCTTGAAACACTTGTGATTGCATCTGTCAAGTCGCTTTTCATCGAATCCGCATTACATCTTGTAAATCTTTATTAATTCCTCGATAAAAAATAAATGACGCAGTTTATCATGTGCTGAGTGATTACATGTAAATTAAGGTACGTTTAAGTGTAACCGAAATGCTCCCGCAACCATTTAATTCGATCACCCTGCCCCAAAACCCGATTTGTAACCGACAAGGTTAATTTATTATTGAAATGTCACTGGTCTTTATTTACACCAAGTGTTCTTCGGTACCCTTCGTCGTTTTTTCAACATCACGCGTGTTTGTTTATGTTACAACTCGGCCAAACTAGAACATCCTATCTTTTTTGTTACTTCTTCAATAACTTCCTGTGATAGACCACCGACAACTGATTATGGTTAACTTATCTCTTTAAATGGGAAACACAGAACAAATTTGGATGTGCCGTTATTTTTTAGTGTACTTCCTCGACGGACGTGAGTTTTGTTGTTAATAAAAGTGTGTTTCTTTTTTTTTTTTGGGTTTGGTTTGAAAAGGTGTAGTGGAAAATTATGGGATCAGTTTGGAAAAGGTTACAGAGAGTGAATAAGAAAGCTGCTAAGTTTCAATTCACCGTCTCATATCATCAGTTATCCTTGGAGTTTACCCCCAAATGGTAAGTAAAACTTTCTTTTTATTTAGAAAAATATTTTTAGGAATTATTTTATTTAAGGGAACCACATAAATTATCTTTAGTATGGGCTAGAAGGTCTAGAAGGGTTGTTTCTCAACCCATGAAATGGGAACCTACTTTAGAAACACCTTACAAAGCTCTCGTCGTTTGGTCTTTACCTGAAAATAAACAGGTTGATGTTACATTATTTAGAGATCCTAGAACGAGAGTTTTAGAAGATAAAGATTGGAGTTTTATTATTGAAGATGTAAGTTCATGTAAAGGTATAATTCTGTGACTTTAAATTCCTCATTAATTCATATAAAACTTGAGTTGAGAAACTGGTTTATTTAGAGAAAATAAAATGTCCTTGTATAAAAAATTTCTACAAATTTATATTCTTAAAAATGTTTAAAATTCTTTAGCACATAGTCAACCCGGTTCTCTTATTTAATCAAACCTTTGTGATGATTTCACAGAAATTTTTGAACTTTTGGATAAAGATTAAAGTACAATAAACATTTAAGTTTGTCTTGCATAAATAAAGTTATACTGATAAAATAATAAATAAAAATTATCTTTTAAAATAAACTCTAACTTAAGCCAATGTTCAGAATCAACAAGGACAGCTATATTTATTTTATATATTGATAAAATTTGTGCAAACATTTATTTCCAATATTCCAATTGGGTTGGTAAATACACTATAACCTTCCAACAGTTTTCTTGTTGGTTGTAATAGTTTATTTTAGTCTTAAAATTATATTAAACTTTCTAGGTTGAGTTATTGTTTATGCATTTTTTTACACACATGAATAATTTATTTTAAATAATTGAAATGTTTAGTTTGTCGAGGTGGACGATATTTTTAGATTGAATGTTTTATTTTCTAATGAAACTTATTCCTCAATTGATGTATTTAGGAATTGAGTGAACAATAAAGTTACTTATTTATAAAATAGGCAAGCACTTAATATAAAAATGAGTGTAGTTAATGATAAGAAATCTTTTTGCAACAAGTTTTATTAATTGTTGATAAAACAATAGATATCAGCAATGTGGAGAGAATTGCATTTGCATCATTATACCTAATTGTATTGTAAAAAAAAGTTATAAAACGATATCATAACAACAATACTATTGTACAATTGAATATGATGACATATTGGGCCAATTATATTTAAAGTTTGTTCACTATTGAAGAAAGCGTTTGTAATAATTCGAAAGTCGAGTTAATTAGAGCCAAATAAGTATTTTTATTCGCTTATTCGAAACATAATGAAAATAGAATTATGCTATTTTTCGTATTTTTGAATTTAGGTCTTGGTTTTCTCACAAAAATATTCTGGCGTTTTTATAGGCCACTAATAGACTGACAACATTTGTAAAAGTTGATTTATTCTGATTATGCAATGTGATTAAAATTTTGCATCTGAATGTTTATTATAATTATAACAGGTTATACCATACTTGATTAATTTATCTCAATTTAAAGTGCCAATTTGATTTGATTGAAATTTTAATTGCATTGATACTTATAAGTACAAGTACAATATATTAATCAGTATAATAAATCAGATCAGGTAAATTTCCACTTCCTGCCAAATGGAAGAAATTATATATACAGGTTGTTCAAAAAGTTCTCATATATTTTTTTAGATATTTCAACAGCAAAAATTATCTCCATGGGCTTCAATACATTTTTTTACTCGTTTATTTCGTCCCAGAACCGTTTTGAGCACTTCTACTATGGCTTTATCGTCATCCTGAGGTTTTTTGCTCTAAGATGACGGAGTATGTCATTCGGTTGAGATCTGATGAATTAGGCTGCCAAACGTCTTCGCCCCAAAAGCTGAAAATCAGCTCTTTGCAAATGGCGATTGTCGAATTAGCCGAATGTGACGGCGCCCAATCTTGCTAACGAATGAATACCTCCTGAGCGAATTGTTCCGCCGCCCATGACTTCAGAATGCCATCGTTTTTCCTTCTTGAATAGTTGACGTTCGTTCTGATTGTTGCGGAACGGCTCGATCGTGAAAATCTTCTCATTAGTGAAGAGAACTTTTAATAGACGAGGGCTAGCGATCAGGCGAGTCATTTGGCGGGAATTTTCCAATCTTTTCAGCTTCATTGTATTGTTGAGGAAGTTTGAAACTTTTTTCTGACGATGTTCCAAGTGCTACCGATACGGTTAGTTAGTAGACGATTAGTTAGCAGACGGTTAGTTAACAGACGGTTAGTTAGCAGACGTTTAGTTAGCAGACGGTTAAATAAATGCCTGCTACGAGACAATATTTAGGAACTATTTCATTTTTGAGTGCGCCGGTTAATAAACTTGTCTAGAAGAGTTGTTATAGTTTTTGGTCAAATGTCACACCAAGATCTCTAATATGAGGTACTCTCGACATGGCTGCGCCCCCAAGACCATAGTTGTATTTAATTAAGTTCAATTTTCTTGTGAAAGAAATTATTGAACATTTGCTCAAATTGAGCGTAATGAGTAATGAGGTTCGAGTCACAGTACAGTTGTAAAGCGTCAACATCACGCTGCAACCCCGAGCAATCCAGAGGTAAATATGCGTAAATAATTTCAGATCACCAGCACACATTAAGCAGTGAGAGTGTTTCAAAACAGCAAATATATCCCAAATACCCAAGTGACTACCCTGCAGTACACCTGAAAGCACTGAAAAAGAACTAGATCTATGTCCTTTGATTAACACTATCTGAGTTCTTAAGCGCATTTAGGAGGCTAACCATCTGACTAAGTAGCCATTGATACCAAACTGTTGAAGTTTTGAAATTAACAGATTATGGTCAACTCGGTCGAACATCTTGTTGAAGTCTGTGTAAATAGCGTTTACTTGGTTAGATTCATCCATAGAGCGTAATATGTAATTGCTATCTTCCAACAAGTTGGTCTCTACCAGCGAAGAAACCGTGTCGTCTGAAATCGATTTGGTTTTTAACCATGAAAAATAATCTGTATAGTAAGTTTTTCAAGTAATTTGCTAAACATCGATAATAATGATATAGGTCTATAGTTAATAACTTTGCTACTATCCAATACGATCGCCAATCTTAAATATTGGAAGAACATGTGCCTGCTTCCAGATACGCGGAAAAACTCTAGACTGAAATGATTTATTATAGAGTTGCATTAGCGGAAATGATAATGAGATAGAACAGTGCGGATATTTCATCTGCCGCAGGCCCCTTCTTATCGTCAACGCTACTCAATGCCTCCTCAACGTTTGGTTGCTCAAAATACATCACACCGGTAGCAGAACCATTAGAGAATGACAAGTAAGTTGCAAACAGTGAACATACAGCATGAACACTGGAGGCAATCGTGCTGTTATACGAAACAGAGGTAGGAATATCGCAACCATGTTGTTTCCTCTGCCTAACAAATGACCAAAAACATCTAGCGTTGGAAGAAATATTAGATTCAGAACGGTGAACATAACGCTTGTAATCGCGATCGATTAGAAACTTTGCCCGACCCCTCAGCATGGAAAATATAAGGTAATCAACATGATAACGATAACGTCATATCAACATACAAGATGTTTATGTTTTCGTCTATACCTTTGTTCTTTGGTTTTGATTCTTTTAGTCCCTACAGGTTCAAATTTTCTTAGCTGATTTCATAAATAAACGTGTCCATAAATAATTTGGTCGATATCACCCCATCACATTAACTTCTTCCAGCACTACAGTCCTCTGGGGTCTTTGGGTTGCTTCACGATATGATGCCTTTCCAATCTGTCAAACGCCGCATGCTTCTAGTTTCCTACACCAAGCGTCTTATCATCCTTCCATCGTTTGTTTGGTCTTCCTATAATGTCGTGCATTCTTCTTCTATTCTATCTTATTCCATCTGTTGTAACTCTAATCTTTGTCTAAATTTTTTCCTCCTTTCATCGCCTCCCAATGCTCCTACATTTAATTTTTTGCTGTTTTCTGCATTTTTTTCATTTATTGAAGCAATCCTGTGTCGTGCCAAAGACACACCTCGGTAGTTCGCACATCGTTTATTGAAGCCCATCTCATAGATATTAAGACGTGGTCCATTTGGTTGCAATCATCTGCTACTGGAATTATCTATGTTCTCTTGTGGATTTTTTTGTGTGGAAAACAGGTTTTGACGGTTTTGAGGTTACAAACTAGTCTCATACCATTGTCAATAGTTTTATCATGGATCCTTTGTTTACACATCACATCTTGGTATATATTCTCCATTCCTAGTTGAGCATTCCACAACAATAATGTTTACAATCACTTTTTCGTAGGGTGTCGTAAACAGTTTAGAGATCTTCATGGAACTGCTACACTACAACTAAATTTTGACATGATAGTGTGGTAAAGCCCTGAGTACTTAATAATCTAATTTGGCTACGATCCACAATAATTAATTAATTTAGGGATTCACAACAAATACAATTTTCTTCATTTTACGAGAACACTAAGAAATTAATATAAAAAGGACAACGAAATAAGAATACTTATTTATTGGCTAATTTTGTAATAATCTTTATAATTCCCATAATAAATATTTTATAACTCAGTTAATAATTTTGAATTCAACTCTATATTTGGCCAATGATGAAACAAATCATATATATTTAATGATTTGAAATGATTATCTTAATGTTAAACATCCTTACTCATTAGTTTAAGTCTGAGGCCACGTATTTTTCAATGTGCTGTTCATTGATCCTAACAATTTGTTCTGATAAATTATCAGTTTAAATATGACTCAATGTTATCTTTGTTGTTATAAAAACTTTTATTGTCCTTAATAAAATGTAGAATATTTATATCATAAACAATAAATATTTATAATTAGGTTTCTCCAACTGGAAAAAGACGACCCCTCGCAGTGTCCCATCTTAATATGGGTACCTATGCTAGTGGTGACGCAAAACAACACAAACTACAATTACCGTTTAAACCGATGACAAAGAAAATTGTTTCGGCTAAATTAGATTGTACGTTATCGTGCGTGCTATTAAAAGAAGGAAAAGCGACGTAAGAAATTTCGTTAAATTTTTTCTTTGAAATCTTATAAACAAGGATTTTAGGGATGAAGATATGCAATCTATAGCATCCCTTATGTCGGAAGGTTACGGTGATAATACAGATATTGCTCCTTTAGACGATGTTGATGAAGATTACTCACAAAGTGATTCAATGAGTTCAATGAAAAATACTTTAAACGAAGTTACTCAGCATCTTCAAAAGATGACTGATAGTTTATCTGGGTCGGATATGGCTAGTACGCCTATAAGTAGTAAGGAAATCATTTAAATAAAATTATTCGATTAATTTTCTTGTTAATGACTCTTTTTAGTAAGTAGTATTCAATCATTTCCGAAAGATGATAAGACTCCAACAGCCGAAGTGATTTCTCCAATTGCCGAACAACCAATAATTTTACCGTCCTGTAGTGTTCCCCCACCAAAACGAAGCGACTTCCATGAACCGGAAACCGACATTTATTCGGAGATGTGTTCCGAAAAATTAGATAACCTTGACAAGTTACAAGAAGAGACTGATCATAGTTTTATTGCTCCGACGAGGCCAAAGAGTATGAACTTGAATTTAAAACCATTAGATTTGAAAAATAACGAAATTAAAACTCAAAAATTAACTACACCCGGACAAGATTTATTGGAATGGTGTAAAGATATGACTAAGGATTATGCTGGAGTTAAAGTTACGAATTTAACAACTAGTTGGAGAAATGGAATGGCTTTCTGCGCTTTGATACATCATTTTAAACCAGATCTTATGTTTGTTTTCTTTTTTTTTAATTAATAGTAATAATTAATTTAATAATTAATAAATTGTAGTGATTTTGGCTCCCTTTCACCGCACGATGTGAAAGGAAATTGTCGAAAAGCTTTTGATGCTGCAGCTAAATTGGGAATACCCAGAGTAATTGAGCCGACTGATATGGATATGTTAGCAGTTCCAGATAAATTGGCCGTCATGACATATTTATATCAATTGAGAGCTCATTTCACAGGTCATCAATTGGAGATAAAACAAATTGGAAAAACTGCTGATGAAAGCAATTACGTTATAGGCAAATTTAGTACTGATATGGATTCCGCCACTATGCATTTATTTGGAAAAGAAATATTAAATTTAAGAAAAACAAAAAATGTATAATAAAAAAATCAATTAATAATTTTTATTAATTTCCTTATTTTTTTTTAGCAAAATAAAAGTGGTGAACAAGAAAAAGAAATAAACAACAAAGAAAATAACATTAACCACGAACCAAATACGCCAAAATTAAGATTACCACTTGTTACTAATAATAATGAACCACTAGAATTTCCTAAAGAAAAGGAGAAATCTCCGACAATGGTTAAAGATGTTAAAGATATTATATTAAATAGTTCAAAGAATATTATTGGGAAAGTTTTATCCCCGAAAATTACTCAAAACGAAAAAAAGCCAGAACCGAAACCTGAAAAACCGTTTTTGATGACGCGTGGTGAATGGTACGATCCGTTCGATTCGGTCGCTGAAGATATTATTAGCGAAGAAGATATTATTAGTACCTCAGTTACTCCCATAGATAATAACAAATCGTTAAATACTAAAGTCCCAGAAATGAATGGTGCAGATAGTACAGATGATAATAATAAAAAAGTCCAACAAGTGGAGAGTAAGAAAAACGACATCAACAAAAACGATTTACCCAAACCGAATCAGGTATGAAAAACATTAAAATTTTTTGGTTTTCAATTTTGGGTTTTTCTTTGTTTGCTAGGCTTTCGTTTTATGCTTGGTTTGTCATCGTAGTAAATTCGGTTTATTTCTTTTCTTTTTATGTTTTTGATCGTGTGCGGTGCAGCAAATTATAAATAGGCATAATGAGCAACGGGAAAGGGCCCAACAGCTTTTGGAGCAAGTCGGGAAACGGGACAGTTCTACTACTACGTCACCTACAAGGGTATGACCATTTCCCAATTTGTTGTTCTTCACTTTTAGCAAAATTTATTTATTTGTTATCGTTGTGCTTATTTATGTTCATTAAAATGATTAAAAAAGAAATTCAAGTATTAAATTAAGGCTTAAAATTATTTTCAAAAAAATTTAATACTACACTTTAGTAGAACTAACTTAATTATAATATTTCTATGCTTTTTAAACTTTTATTTAATGTAGAATCTCACCTGTTCGTTTCACAAATTGTTTGATTCTTCACCAGTTTTGTTGAGGTATTTATTTATTTAGTGTACTTTCTTGCAGTGTTTTTATTTGATGTAGATTGTAGATTATTGGGTGTGATGTTTGATTATTGAGTTAAATAGTTGTTTAACCCATTTGCATTATAGGTCAGATATTTATCACCAAAGCGCATTTATGCTACAACATATATACATGTTTTCAATAAGGAGCGAAATAGAATATTTTAATTGAACTAAAACTAGAACTAGAATATTTCTAGTTCTAGGTCTAGTGTTAGTTCTAGTTTTAATAATTATTCAGCGCTAGGTTGTTGTAGGTTGTCTGCTTTGGTTGTCCCTTTGCTGCTGGTAGAACGATGATGTCTGTTTATTTTTTGATCGTCCGCGAATGTATTACAATTATAATTTATTAACCTGTATACAGAGTGACTTTCACATAAACGTGAATATTGAAATGCATTATTATAGAGCTCATTTGCAATTGAGTAAGCCAAATATGCCTTATACAAAGTTGAATAGTTTAGGAACTATTTAAATTTTTATCACATTATCATTAACGAAAAGAAAGTAAACAAAGGTATGTAACGCATTGTCTAATTGAAGGGCTTATTGCTAGAACGTGATAAGCCACTAAAATTTTAAGAAAATCAACTTCAAAAGATTAGAAAAATATTAAAATGTCTATGGTGAAAATTTTACCCTGAAAATGACTGTATTAAAATTATACTTTACTCTAGCCTAGGGAACATAATAGGAAATTAAAAATTGAACACCAGTAGTTAGTTGCTCTCAGGGAGAGGAAAGATTTATGGTCTACTGGAGGTATGTATCGCAATAAAGACTTTACATTATCTAACTTTTTTTTGAAATTTTTTAGAGGTTCGTTATATTTTTCCTTGAGCCTTCCTCTCTTTTTAATGGTAATTTCATCATAAGTTCCATTAACTGAGTGTTTTATAAAGAATGATTTTGGAGCATCTACTTTAAAATGAAAAGCATAGATTCCCGAAAAGTCTAATTTTTCACCTTTGTCAGTGCGTACATTTTTTGATATATTAGATAGCAAAGGTTCTAGATTCATGAAATCGTTTTGTTGCATAATCGAGACCACAAATGGATGTTTTTATACTTTCTTCTATAACTTTTTACCACCCTTCTGGTGAATAGATCTGTGGTGCACATTTTGTATGCGTTTTCTCTATATTTTTTTATTTAACTGCAGCCAGAGAGATATAATGACCCAATTTTTGTTTTGACGAGTTAATTATCCGTAAATAGGCAGTTATCCGTAAATATGACAAGATTGAAAAATTTTATTAAAATGGACCCTTCCGCATCCGCTGCTTTTTTGGCCTTTTCTTTTGTCCACAAATACACAAAACCTTGTTCGTTAGTGCAGTCATGAACACCCAGATTATAAAGCTAAATCTTTCGGCAGTAAAAAGCTGGTCCTGCGGTAGTGGCGGACTAAGGTTAAAGCGGGTCCTAGGCATCATTGTAATTCCGGGCCTATTTTTCAGTTATGACACATACTTTGCGTTTGGTAGTTTGGTTTTAAAGCATATAGTATGTAGTTCTATTTAGTTATCGGATTCCCAGAAAAAAAAGGAAAAAAATAATATACAGGTTTGTCAAAAGTCTGGAATATAGCCAATAACTTCGCCATTTGTGGTTTTAAAGAAAAATGTTTTAAATACAAGTTTGATGTTGCTAATTAAATCATCGCATACAACAAAAAAAATATTAACTTTAAAATGTTCTTTCCCATTGAATCTTATGAATGTTCTGAAATTTCATCATGAAATAGTTATCGTATTTTCTGCCGTTTTTTATCATTAGTATATGCAATATCTTTAACTTTTTCTGCTTCTTTTTCTAAATTGTTAAAATGATGTCTTCGTCTTTTTGTTGAAGAGTCTTGTTTGAAGCATCTATTCTCTTTAAAATCTTTTCCCATATAGTAAGTAACAGTACATACTCAAATGTATCAAGTTTTTTATGTAAATCGGCAGCTTCGGATCTTGTTAATGGTTTTTCAACTTTGAGGAAAAATAACGTAAAGAATGTTTAATTTCTTCATAATTTTCCTTTAAGGATTTCACAGCATAGGAATGAGCAGACCACCTGGTGTCATAAATAGGTTTGATACTCAAGTGTTTGCTCTTACAAAATTTTTGTAATGCATTCCACCTATGTGTAGAACTTGAAAAAAATACGTACAATTGCTGAATGAAAAAAGTAAAGAAAGAAATTAATCACATATTTTAGACGATAAATAGTTTATAATACCGGTGCCGCAGTTTACATATTTTTTCATGTGTTACCGCAAAAATTGATCGAGCTCGGATAAATATTCCAAAGCACCTATATAATTACCATTATTTTCACTAAAAAACACTTCATTTTTACCACGAAACGCTAAAGAGTATGAAGAAATAAATTTGATTGTCGCTATCACACGTTTAAGTACTTCCCTCCAATATTTTTTTCNTCACATTATCATTAACGAAAAGAAAGTAAACAAAGGTATGTAACGCATTGTCTAATTGAAGGGCTTATTGCTAGAACGTGATAAGCCACTAAAATTTTAAGAAAATCAACTTCAAAAGATTAGAAAAATATTAAAATGTCTATGGTGAAAATTTTACCCTGAAAATGACTGTATTAAAATTATACTTTACTCTAGCCTAGCGAACATAATAGGAAATTAAAAATTGAACACCAGTAGTTAGTTGCTCTCAGGGAGAGGAAAGATTTATGGTGTACTGGAGGTATGTATCGCAATAAAGACTTTACATTATCTAACTTTTTTTTGAAAATTTTTAGAGGTTCGTTATATTTTTCCTTGAGCCTTCCTCTCTTTTTAATGGTAATTTCATCATAAGTTCCATTAACTGAGTGTTTTATAAAAAATTATTTTGGAGCATCTACTTTAAAATGAAAAGAATAGACTCCCGAAAAGTCTAATTTTTCACCTTTGTCAGTGCGTATATTTTTTGATATATTAGATAGCAAAGGTTCTAGATTCATGAAATCGTTTTGTTGCATAATCATGACCACAAATGGATGTTTTTTTACTTTCTTCTATAACTTTTTACCACCCTTCTAGTGAATAGATCTGTGGTGCACATTTTGTATGCCTTTTAAGCATAGGCAGAGAGACATAATGACCCAATTTTTGTTTTCAGGAGTTAATTATCCGTAAATAGGCAGTTATCCGTAAATATTACAAGATCTCATATACACCAGGTATAATATTTTTGAAAAATTTTATTGAAATGGACCCTTCCGCATCCGCTGCTTTTTTGGCCTTTTCTTCTGTCCACAAATACAGAAAACCCTGTTTGTTAGTGCAGTCATGAACACCCAGATTATAAAGCTAAATCTTTCGGCAGTAAAAAGCTGGTCTTGCGGCAGTGGCGGACTAAGGCTGAAGCGGGTCCGATGCAACATTGTAATTCCGGGCCTATTTTTCAGTCATGACTCATGACACATACTCTGCGTTTGGTAGTTTGGTTTTAAAGCATATAGTATGTAATTCTATTTAATTATCCGATTCAAAGAAAAAAAATAATATACAGGGTGTGTAAAATGTCTGGAATATAGCCAATAACTTCGCCATTTGTGGTTTTAAAGAAAATATTAACTTTAATATGTTCTTTCCCATTGGATCTTAATTCATGTTCTGAAATTTCATCATGAAATAGTTTTTGTATTTTCTGCCGTTTTTTATCATTAGTATATGCAATATCTTTAATTTTTTCTGCTTCTTTTTCTAAATTGTAAAAAAAATACTAAAATTATCTTCTAATCTAAAATTATCAATGAATCATATTATATTAAAACTGCTGTATTTAGGGATTCGTCTTTTTGTTGAAGAGTCTTGTTTGAAGCATCTATTCTCTTTAAAATCTTTTCCCATATAGTAAGTGACAGTACATACTCAAATGTATCAAGTTTTTTATGTAAATTTGCAGCTTCGGACCTTGTTAATGGTTTTTCATCTTTGAGGAAAAATAACGTAAACAATGTTTAATTTCTTCATTATTTTCCTTTAAGGATTTCACAGCATCGAAACGAGCAGACCACCTGGTGTCATAAATAGGTTTGATACTCAAGTGTTTGCTCTTACAAAATGTTTGTAATACATTCCACCTATGTGTATAACTTGAAAAAAATACGTACAATTGCTGAACGATATTGAAAAAAGTAAAGAAAGAAATTCATCACATATTATAGACGATAAATAGTTTATAGTACCGGTGCCGGAGTTTGCATACTTTTTCGTGTGTTACCGCAGAAATGGATCGAGCTCGGATAAATATTCCAAAGCACCTATATAATTACCATTATTTTCACTAAAAAACACTTCATTTTTACCACGAAACGCTAAAGAGTATGAAGAAATAAATTTGATTGTCGCTATCACACGTTTAAGTACTTCCCTCCAATATTTTTTTCGTTTATAATTTGTTTTTCAAGTTCAGTGTCAATGCGTTCGGTAATTTTAGATCTTGTTATAAAAATTAAAATGGAGTTAATGTGGTCATTGGAGTTTTCATGCTTTGACAATTTTTTATGTAAATCATTCGTCCCTTTTGTCATTAGCGTTGTTTGTTTGGAAAATAATTTACAGACGTAACAGTACAATAGGTTGTTGGTTTCAGTATAAGCCAACCAATCTCTTTTAATTTTTTCCCTGCTATTAATTGTTCGGAAGAAGGAGGCAATAGTTAATTTTCTTGAGATTTGTTTTGACCCTTCGTTGCATCGAATAGAAGATGACTCCAAAAATCTCTTTATAGATTTTGGTGGATTTTTTATATAATACGCTCGCATGGTGTCTGTTAAGTATTCTCGCTCTGGCCATAATGCAATACCGTTTACAAAACTCTTAGGTTCATCATTACTTTGAGGTGATTTTAAATTTATATTTTCTCCTTTTATTTCATCTTCACAAACGGAATTGCTTGGTTTTTCCTGCTGGTCTTTTTGCAGAATAGTTTCGGACGCAAATGATGTATCTGGAGTTTGAGCAAGTGAAATTTGTGAAAATGATGACGATTGTTGTAATTGTTCCATCTACAGTTAAAAATTTGGGTGGACCTGCGGTTAGTTTCGGGATAGGCATCACCAGTTGCAGGTCGAATGAAATAACACACTTTTCTTCTTTTTGTCTGCTTTTGTCTTATATTCTTCTACTTCGCTTTTTAATAAGCTTTGCGTTGCAGCCGCTCTATTTTTGTGCAAATTTTACTGTGTTTTTAGTTCCTGTAATTCCTTCTGATTGTTTTTATAAGCTACTGTACTGTTAGATATTTTCAAATTAAAATCGTCGCAAGTTTTGCAAGTGTCAAATTTAGGTAATTTAAATCTAATATTAAATTCCGTACAAAAATATTTTTCGATAGGCACTTTCTTTAACAGCATTTTTACCTTGCTCTTGACATCAAGGAACATAAAATCCGTATATGTTCTTGAACTGATTGTTTTTGGTGTTCATTCAACTGATTTGGTCGATTACTGTGCTTTCCTCTCATGTCTTTACCTGCAGCTTGATCCTGCCACGAGAGGATTGAAGACCATGAACACTCATAAATTCGATTTTGCAAAGCCTTATGTGTTTTCCATGAACAGTCACGAAATATTTAGCGTTAAAGTGTCTGCTCACGAAAAACCAGTTTGTTCAAGAATTAACTTAAGTCACGAAACATTTTTCCCTGTATTAAATATTTTTCGACTTAAAATGGGTGTTAGAGTGTAATCTATCCAGAGAAGTCGATATGTTGCCAAAGAAACAACTATTAATCTCTAAATTACAATATTTGTGGGATTATGCATTGGAAATGTACATAAACCAAAAGATTGAAATAATTCCTAAACTATTCAACTTTATATAAGGCATATTTGGCTTAATAAATTGCAAATGAACTCTATAATAATGCATTTTGATATTGACGTTTATGTACCAGTCATCCTGTATAATAAACAAAATTTGGTGAATAGGCCACTTTATCATTTCTTCTGAATGATGCAAATGGGTTGAGTAAGTGTGATTTCGTAATAGTTTGGGCTATTTTAAAAATGTTTGATGCATTTAATTTTTATTGATGCAGATGTAAACATTTTGTTTCAATTGACAAAACAAAATCAAACAATAATTAGATATTTACAACGCCATATCATTAAAAAAGAATAAAATATCTGAAAAGAAATTTCAGTAATTTTATGATCTTGAATCAAACAAAGTGATTATCAAATAATTACAGCCATAACAACCGAAGAATAAATTAGATTTATTTAACAACGAAATCTAAATATATTTTTAGTTATAAACCCAAGAAGAAAGTGAGATTTAAACACTTAAACCAATTAAATCTCGGTTAAATAATTTTTATCAATGATCTGCATTGATAAAATTTTAGTACTATAATAATTTGAATCAAGAATTATTAAATAGTACCATAAAATTCAATAATAATATCTAATCATTTTTAGCAACAAACTGAAGAAGAAAGACAAGCTCAATTACTTGAAAGAGCTCGTAAATTAATAGCGGAAGCTCGAAAGAGTTCTACCCCAACAACAGAAATAATATCAATAAATATGGATACAGAAGACAAATTGAAAAAATTAACTGAAGATTTATCCCTATTAGAAAAAGAGGTGTGCGATATGAGACAAAACGGAACAACACCTCCAAAATCACCTAGTCCACAAAATTCTGACGATATCTCCGATAGTTCTAGTCTAAACAGAGAAAAAGTTACCCCAGATAAGTTACCAGATGATTTGGGTTTCGCTCAAGTAATTAAAAATAATTTTTCTCTTTAATTCTTATACATTTATCTCTATTTTATCTATTTAGATGGGTATTGATGTTCATAATTACATTGAACAAGAATTAGAAGATTTAGAACGTGAACAAAGTGCCATTGATGATCAAGCGGCGAAGTTGGAGAAAGAACTTCGAGCTGTGATGGAGTCACCAGATAGCAACGTCGAAGAGGATTTGATGGCTCAATGGTTTACACTTGTTAATAAAAAGAACGCTTTACTTAGGCGGCAAATGCAATTAAATATCTTGTACGCTGTGTTTTAATCTGTTTTATTTAAAATTTATTAAAATTATTTTTTCTTTTATAGAGAACAAGAAGGTGATTTAGAAAGGCGATATAAAATGTTAAACAAAGAACTCCAATTGAGTTTAGCCATTGAAGATTGGCGAAAAACGGATGAACAACGTGCTAGGGAAACGCATCTTCTTGAAGAATTGGTACAAATTGTGAATAAAAGGGATGAATTGGTACAGCATTTAGACAATCAGGAGAAGGCGTAAGTTTTTTTTGATGATACAAATTTTAATTATATTAATTTGACTTTATTTATGAATAGGATTGAAGAGGATGATAGAATAGAAAAAGATCTATCCCACATTGACCTTCAGCCAAAAGAAAAGTGTGTCATACAGTAAAGTTCAACAAATTATACATATAATTTCATCTCCTTTAACAAAAAAAAAGACGTAGCTTTAATTTATTATACTCGTAGCTTAAGTGGCTCTTTTATTTTTTTAATAATTTATTTTAACTGGTTTGTTCTTCGCCATTTTTAGTCATCAATTAATGTTAATGAAATTAGTAAAACTAAGCAAAAACAAGGGTTAACTTCCATAATTTACTGTGACTAATCTCAGCAGTTTAGTACCTGTAAAGAGAAATTGTATATTGTAGTTGTTTAAGGGTTACACTTTTTGGGGTTTTGGTGTAGAAAGCTTCTTCATACTCCACTAATCTGAAATGAAGAGGAAATATCTAGTTGATCGTCAACTGTGGGGCATTTAATTATTTTCATTTTGACGCTTTTATTACAAATTAATTATTTATTTTGTTTCTTTGTTTTTTTTTTTTGGGTTACTGGAGTATATTTCTTTTAAGATTTTCTCGAATACGCGAATAGTTTTGTACTTATTGTTTTTAGAAAAAAAGCGTTCCCGTTGCTGTTATTTATCCTGATTTCCTTCTCCAATAACTCCCCATGTTGTAATTTTCATTTTCGGGTATGTATCTTTTCAGTTTTAAAAATATTTTTGATACTAAAAATATATCTATGTAGTAGATATTTTGGTGCAATATGTTGGAAATATATTTAAAATAATAGTCAGTATGCTTCGAAACAAAAATAAACATAAAAGTGAAAAAAAGCAAGAGAACAGAAAAAAGTTGTTGCCTGAAATAATTTTTTATAGGTAACTTTATTTTTTATTGCTTAACTGTGATTTATTGCTATAGTAGTGGCAAACTAAAACGAATATAGATTTTTGCGTTCTCCAACAAATATTTGGTTGTATGTATATGAAACGCTGGTTGATTATAGTAATAATAACTCCTCTAAGTAGTAGAACAGATATTTTTTTACTGTAACATATTAGCACTTTGATTAAGTTGTACTTGTATATTTGTTTGTTTTAATTTATAAAGGATCGTATGTGATGGGTGTGTAGAAGCAGAATTTTTTCGTGGAGCATATTGTAGGTTGAAAGTTGCAAAAAGTTGCATAATATTTATTGGTTGTAAACTATTTCAGTGTATAATTTTTAATTATTGTACTAGGATGTAGCAAAAAACTATTTATGTATTGTAAATAATCCGTGTAATTGATTAATGATGCTAATAATAATAATTAAAAAAATGAATCACGTCCAATTTAGTTGTTCATCTTTCTTTTATCCTTTCTCAATATTACCCATTTAATTATTATCACTATCTTAGAATTTTTTTATTCTCCATTTTTATCAACAAAAAGTACTATATACATAATAGAAGACAAACTTCCCAAAAATAAAATACTTACACAAGAGCCACAGAAACAGAACCTTATTCTAATAACTTTAAAGATTTCAGAGCATAAAGGACCTAACCGGTTTATTCTGTCATTTCATACATTCTATTTGAGTTTTAAAACTACTTTGATTGATACCTAATATTGCAGCATTAACTATTTGCCATATCAGACACATTGCTGATAGAAAAAATGCATTAACAATTATGTATTACACTGCTATGAATTCTTAATTACACGTACCTTTGAGTGTCCTGAAAATTTCTTAAGGATATTCGTAGCACTGACGAAGCTGTAACGTTCTGTAACTGACCGCGTGAGCAACGACTAACAGTTGAGCCACAAGTAACGAGATCATGCTTCAAAAAGTTACAAACAAGATACAAGCAACCACAGAAGAATACCTTCAGGTTTCAGAATCTTGGTACTGTTGGCAAAAGGCAAATGCAGATAACACTTAATCATTCTTACACAATTACAGGTTGTCGAGGTGGTTCTAACTGCAATCAAACCCGGTTATAAGACTTTAGCAGTGATAATTTATTGGAACGTTATGTAAGCGAATTTATAACAATAAAAATATCAATCATAATATCACCAAAAGAATATGGATGCAAGTATATGTATATAATGAGGGATCGAGAAATATTTTGCAAATATTCGAAATTGACATCAATGTGGAAGAATGAGGTTGACATAAAAAAAGATCCGTGATATGGCTCAGGAATTATAACTTATAAAGGAAAAGTAGCGGAGTTCAAAAAAGCGGTCGTCATAGAAAACGAGAAACGTGGAGAAAATTTTGTGAGGAAGTTTCCTCCTGAAGCAAAGTTTCTCGGTTAAATCAGGTTCTGGCTTCAGATCCTGGACGACGAACTGGCTTCCTAAAAAACCCTGATGGTTCTTATACCGACAACCTTTTGGAGAGTCTTCGTCTATTAATGGATATGCATTTTTCAGGTTCCGGAACTTCCGTGTGCTTACAGGACACCTACCATAAACCTACTGCAGATGAATGGATTTCAGCCGAAGAGATCTGTAGGGAGGAAAAAATACGGTGGGCAACAGTTTCTCACCGTTCAAAACACCAGGACCAGAGGGTATTTTTACAATGGGGCTTGGAGGATTTAGTACCTCACCTAGTGGAAATCTTCCAGGCATGCCTGGCGCTGCGCTATATACCCAGTCGGTGGCGTGAGGTCACAGTGAACTTCATACCAAAACCGAGTAAGCTTGATTATTTCACACGAAATCGTTTAGACCAATCAGTCTCTCTTCCTTTCTTTTGAAAACTCTGGAAAGACTGTGTGATCGCTACATTAGAGAGTTCAGTGTTCCAACTAAATCAGTAAATTCTAATCAGCACCCTTACACTTAGGGCAAGTCCACCCTAACGGCTCTTCACTCAGTGACCAGCTTTGTTGGTGAAGCGCTGGACCTAAAGGAGTCCGCAGTGGGTGTTTTCATAGATATGGAGGGAGCTTTTGATAAAACAACTTTCTCTGGTATTAACAATTCATAATTGTTCCACCGACTCTTTGTGATTGGATTGAGAACACTCTTAAACATAGGATAGTTAAGCTTAGGGCTGGCGATGTCAGTCTCCAAGGAGGAGTTACTTGAGGTTGTTCACACTTTTGTGGAACCTCACCCTGGATAGCCTCTTGAAACGCCTCGCTGAAGCCAACTTTACTACAGTGGGTTACGCAGATGATTTAACCATTCTCGTCAAAGGTAAGTACATAAACGTGCTTTTTGATAGGATGCAAGTAGCTCTCAAATTGATACGGACTTGGTGTGACGAACAAAGACTCTCTGTGAATCCTAAGAAGACAGAGTTGATTCTTTTCACACGGATGAGGAAGTTTGGCAAGTCCAGACTGCCATCCCTTGCTAATACTCCATTGGTGTTGTCAAAAAAGTCAAATATCTGGGCATCACATTTGACAATAAAATGACATGGAGAGCCCACCTAGATAATAAAGTAAAAAGAGCGTACGTTGCATTCAGTCAATGCCGGAGGGCTATAGGTAAGACATGGCCAAAAATGCCCTCTGGATTTATACGGCTGTAATCATATGCTTACATATGGTGCAGTAGTATAGTGGTCAAAGACCTTACAGTCTACATCCACTGCTGCACTTAATAAAGTACAGAGACTTGCGTGTTTATATGTCAGCCTAGGCCAGCGTATGTGATATGCGCTCCCTTCTACGGATACCATATATAAATCGCAGACAAAAGTTTTGTAACTTTTGAATTTTAGCAGTGTGAACGCTGTCAAGGCAGGAGTAATATATTATGTCACCGTAATTGAAGATGGACAACACCAAGGCATCACACAGATGCGTTCTAAGGTTTTGATTCAAAATATATCTTGTTGTAAAGCAACCTTAATGTAGAGTAAGCTCTCCGTCGAAGGAACCGAACATGCCCTACAAAGCGAAGCCGCCCATCGAAACAGATACTCAAATTTTTTACATTTTCCCCAAAGCTAAGACGACTTCCACCCATCACCAATTGCAAGTTAGTTTTTACAAACTCAGCCGAAGCTCTATCCCCAAAAACCATAACCGATGACTTACTAGAATTAATCCGTAGACAAAGCTTGCCAGCAAGTTCTTCGACCTTAACTAAGTCATGATTGATTCTGCTTTCAGCATCTTCCATATCACATAGTTTAAAAGAGATTCGATACAGTGATCCAAAACATTAGCGAACCCAATTATAGATATCAGATATAACAGAGGACCCAAAATAGAGCCCTGTGGAACACTCGATATAACATCTGAAGTATTGGATGACTATCATTAAGTTTAACCAACTGCTTTCGTCCAGACAAATAACTTTGTACTAAATGAATCGAACCTAAAAATATAATGGAGCGCAGCCACTAGAGTATCATGATGTATTCTATCACAGGCCTTAGAAAAATCCAAAAGTGTTAAGATAGTAACCCGTTTGTCGTCAATTGCTTTGAAGATTTCATCTGTCACCCAGAAGCGCAGTAGCGCTACTAAATCCTGGACGAAAGCCAGAGTGACAACTGGGCAACACATTATAGCCATCAAGATGGCAGCGAAGCCATGACCCTCTCACAAACCTTGGATAATATATAATAGGCAGTATACTAATTGGCCTCAAGTCCCCCAATTCATGAGGATTTGGGGTTTTTGGAATTGGACTCACCAGGGTGATCTTCCACATATCAGGGAACACAGAACATTCAATGGAATAGTTAATTATATGGCACAAGAAGGGCAAAATTGCAGGACAACACAATAAAAGCATTTTAACACTTATGCCATCCATACCAACAGAGTTTGATTTGATTCCACATAGAATATTGAAAATTTCAGTTTCATTTGTAAGAGAAAATGTTAGTTTTTTTTTTGTGGAAATATGTTATCCAATAAAAGTCAATCAACTCAGCACTTCCCGTTGAATTAGTTTGAGTGCTAAGAAGAAAATTATTAATAGTATCAGCATCAAAACCAGTATCAGTCAACACTTGAGTCTTATTTTGACAACACCCAATTTTTTAAAACTCATCACGAGATGATCGCTCCTGAAACAATGTGTTTAAGAACGCCAGTTTTTCTCTCAGAATGGTCGAGTTAGTATAATTGCGTTGAGAGGAGCTTGATGTTATCAGATCAGTCACCCAAGGGAAATAAGTTTTACGGATGGAAACAAAACGCAAGGGCGCATGACGATAAAAAAGATTATGAATTGAATCAACAAAAAAGGCCGCCTTATCATTAATGTCCTGAAATTGGAGTATCCGGCACCAAGGTATTGATAACAAATCCGCAGAAAACATGTCAGGATTCAGGTGTTTGAAATCACGAAACGTTAGTTTCGGGTATAAATTTTTAAATGTTTCAAGCATCCCGAGATCAACGAACACCAAATTATGATCTGTAATATCATGAATAGGTCGAACACCACTATTTTCAACAACTGCATGCTAGATCGCTAGTTTAGAAATGGGTCCTTGAGGATTTCGAGGTGTTCTCTGAGAGTACCCTGAGAAATTGTTTCAAAATAATGTATCCTTCAACCGTATAATGCTCTGATTATTGCTCTGTATATTGCACCGAAAGATACGGGACACCTGTATGTTTACTTTTATTATTATTGGGTTGGGTTGGGTATCTATTAATCTATATATCTGCGGACTAAACTTTCTTTTTTAACGGATGACTTTAAGAATTGTCCAGAAATAGAATTGACGTGGAAAGAAATAAGACATTGAAAAAATGAACATATAGAAAAAAATATTTAATTAATATGGTGTATATTATATTAATTTAATGTTTTTAATAAATAAATAAACATCATCATATTAACGCTTTATTTATTACCAACGTATAGAATTGTTTAGACAGTATTAACAAATAATATTATTTTTAAATATTCTAACAGCACCATAAACGTCTGTATTAAATAATTTTTTTGTCAATTGTGTTGTTAGCATATTTTTACAAATGTAACGTTAGCAAGCAAAACATACGATAGATTTTCTAACACGAATCTACAACATAAATAAAGGCAATTAAAATAAGATGTGTATGACTATGGTACAATAAACGGCGATAATATAATAAATTAAAAATTATAATATTTATTATTGTAACATCACATTTATAATAAGTTTTTTTTTAAATTTTTTGTAAGTAATATAGCTAGAGATTTTTTTTATTACCTATAGAGTCGCACTCATTAACAGTTAAACTTTCTTTTTTAAATACGTTTTATCAAGGAATTATAAAATCTATCAATTTTTTTTAGATAATAATTTTAATAATAAATTAAACGAAGATTGTCTACCAACATGTTACATAAAAAATTTTCTCTTCAT